TTAAACTTAAGCCTGATGGGTTTTTGTGGCCAGTACAATAAAAATTAGGGATGCACGATAATATCGTACGTCATCAGTATCGGCCAATATGCTCTTCCTTACTTTACACAATGAATGAATATTACATACATTGAAAAGCATTGTATTTCATGTCTCCATCTGCTGGTGGGCCATCACAATAAAAGTATGCTTGTATAATATGAAAAAAGTTGATCGATTTTTCGATTTCGGTACCTGACCAAATGAGATGTTATATATTGGCATATCAGCAAAAAATTCCAATATCGAACATCCCTAATTGAAATTGTCTAAAGAAGGTGTTTTGTTTTGTTTTTATTTTGTTTTGACGTGTCTATTATGGAAATCACAGGGGTAAATAATGAAATGAATATGGGCTGAATTCTCTTTAGTGACTTCAGTTTCAGGGTTTTGGTATTGTGCAGGCTGGCTCACTGTTATGGCTTACTGGGATATTTGAAAAGAACACAGCCATTGTTAATGTTTCTAGTAACACCTGTGCTTTTCCTACCATTACATCAAGAGTCAAATATCTGCTGTGAATAAAGATCTGATGGCCATGGTGCTTAAGATACAGTACGTACTGAGTGTTGAGTTGAAACATTAACCTGTCAGTGCCCTCTGTTGGGAAAATCTATTGTTTCTAGATACCTCATTGAATAGGCATTTAGGTACCACAATTTCTTGTTATTGATATATCTGCAATATATGTATATACCAAAACTAGGCATGTGCAGACCGTGCTTGATTGACAGCCTCCTTCCTTAGTTTTGTTACACCTGTTAGGGCAGGAAAAATTACACCATTATAAGTGTCTCTGCTCCATGTGGTCATACTGGTGTGTTGCTGTATTTTTAGCGGTAAGGGAAACTTGCTTGTGGTGGCAGGCATGACATGCAATCTGCATGAGCTGATAATCAAACAGCTGCAGGTGGTGAAGATAGTAAACTTTCATTCTTTCATCTTTATACAGTGTTTGAGTACTGGGAGATACAGTAACTTTTACATTTGATTTCAGCCCCAACAACACATGTCAAATATGTGTTTATAGTCGGTATTGTTTACAGTGATATTGGTACACGTTTTGGTTTTTTAATGTGCTACACAGAGCTATTGATTTAAGTTGGCATGAGCTGCTTTGAGTGCTGAATTTAAAATTGAGTAGAGACCAGCTGGTTCCAATCAGCACTGTGCCTGCTGGGTTTTGGAGATTACCCACTGTTATTAGTGATTAGAGTTTAGTGACATCATTTTATTCCCACTGTAGCTCCACCTAACATCATCCAGACTGGAGGTCTGTTCACCCTGAGGAATGAAAAAACTTGTGAGGCTGTACAGGGGCTTCAAGCCATGTAGCATAACCCTTGTTTCATGTTTATCTGAACTTTAGTTCTTGCTGTTTTCCTCTTCAAGCCCTGCTACGTCAAATGCAGGGATGTAAAAATGGAGGTGTTGGTCAGCCTGTTCAGTCATTCCAACACTGGTCTTAATGACCATATATGTCTGAATAATGTGCCTGTAGGGGCTGGTCACAAGGCTCTGAAAAATCAAGAGAAATTAAAGCTGCAGGCGGCGATGAACGGGTCCTTGCACCTTTCTGCCGTCAGAGGTGCCATTGGGACACTGGTTATCACAATTGTGCATTTCCATGACAGCTGGAGACTACGTGCACCAACTAGATGGTTCTTGCATAGAGTGCTTTGCCCTGGAAATGACGTTTTGCAAATTGTGTATGACTTCCTCTGTCCACTATGTGGCACTAGAGAACACACAGTGGTAATCTACTTCTTGCTGAATATCACATGTAGGCCACACAAATTGAATGATCTCTGTCACATAATGCCGACTTCCTGTTGTCAGTAGGTGGTGCTGTGAATGAGTCTGTCGATGTTTTCAGGCCGGACTGTTACACAGCATGTAATATTTGGGGTAGATTGGACTATGTATAATCAAGTTACAACAGCTTCCTGTGTCATGTCAAAATTTCGAAATTGACTATGGCAACACCATTCTAAGAAAACTCAATCTTCATTAAAAAGCATCATCAAGGTTTGAAGGCTTTTCTGCCCAAATTGGAGGTGGATCTGGTCAACTAGGTAAGAACAGTACATGAAAGTATAAAACATGTAATTTCCTGTTGCCTGTAGGAGACGTAACTCGGTATTGGCATGTAGATGTCTTCAGGCTGGGGATCTTATCAGACGTCAAGTTTGAGGCAGATTTGACAGTGTGGTACAGTTCAGTTCAGTTCAGTACCCATTTTTTCTGTTTCCAATGTGAAAAGTTGTGAATGGTACCAAGGAAGCGTTTCTTGCCATCTCCACTTTTGGTCACCCCTCTGTTGGGGTACCTGGCATACAGATCTGGTACTAAAAGGTGGAGCTAGAAACACTGCAGTTTGTTAACTGGTCAATAGCGGATGGTCACTCTGCTCAGGGCTGAGTTGTGGCTGGTTTTAAAGCTTATGTAACTGCTGTTCATACCATGGCAAGCCTCAACATACTTTAGTAAACAATGACTATAAAATGAAATGATGTTTTGCTGCCTCTTGTAGCAGCTGTAGACTGAGAAAAAAATTATTTAATTCACTGGGCCGACTGCTGGAAACTTTTAAGGTGGAATTTTTATTTGTAATTTTACTCAATGCATGAGTTGATGACATGAATCCATCAGCACACCCTAAATTTTATTATGATAACTTTGACCATACCATTAGTTCTTATTGTTTGTCTTGGATGACATATACTTAAGTAATGAGTGGATCTTCAAGCATTTAAAAATATATATTAATTTCAACTGGATTATGTGAACTGCATATTCCAATTCTCACTTGGAGAAAAAAAAAGCATCATGGAGCCTCATTCCTGTGGGAAACAGCAACAGTAAACTCCTGTGCTTGCCTGAGAAGGACTAAATTCACAAACCCGCTATTTTTAAATATCCCATGGACAGAGACTCTCACTGCAGCCTGTTCTATTTTGGTCAGAAAATGTTGGCATGCAATCGCATTCTGTGGTACGATAAATGAGGTGCAGACTTCCCTCTGTGTCACCGGTAATGAGAAAATACAGCGAGAGCTAGACAGAGCAGAGAGTGATAACAGCCCCGCCCACATTTACTGTTTGCAATGGAAATGCAGACCTAGGGTCTAGGTACCATGTCTGAAGGGTTACTTTTGGTCCCAAAGGCACCATTCTGAAGGTGTTTGGTGGAAATGGGGCTTTAAAGACTACTTCCTGCTTTGTGGTGAAACATGGAAACTTGGCAGTTCTTTTCATGATATAACAATAAACAGAGCATTCAACTAATAATGCTATATAATTGTTTATATAATTTGAACATTTCTGTATTGAAATTCATAAAGGGCTTTTGTACATATGGGGCACACTAAATATTAAATATTGAGATATATGCATTGTTTAGGCTAGGTATGATATATTCTTAGTACTGCTCATGCTTTTTCCTATGTTACATCTTCAGTAATGACCTTATTCTGTGATACTGTTTTAATATTTGTTTAAACACAGTAGTATCATTGTGTTCTGCTGCTGCTGTTATCAGTGCTGTATGAGTACACACTGGGTAAGCGCAATAAAGGTGATCTCACAACAATAGACCCCTCCCTCTTTTCACCAAAAGAGTCCCTACGGTCCAACAGCATCACCAGTGATGGCACTGTGAGACACACACACACACACACACACACACACACACACACACACACACACACACACACACACACACACACAGATAACTCAGAGAGGAAGGCTTAAGGGTGGTTAGTCTGGCACTTTGTCAGAGCCCAGTGTGCAACAGAGGCACATGCAGAGCACACACAGACACATCCCCAAACACACACACATCCTGTGGACAGATGCTTGGTGAAAAAGAGAGAGCGTGTTAGAGGCTGCAGCAGAGACATGCTGAAGAAGCTGATGTGCAAGAAAATCTGCGATCGTAAGAATCGTGCCTTTTTAATCTCTCCTCTTCTCCCCCTCTGCTCTCCTCTCGCTCGCTTTTGCTCTCATGGATTTTCTGGTATTTTGTCTGTCTCATCTTTCAGCCATCACTCTGCTTTCTCGGGATGTACGTCTCTTTCATGTCTCCACCTTTTCCTCTCTCAACCTGTTGCCTTGTGCCCCTATCTCCCACTTTGTTTTTGTGGTTTCTGTCTGTGTATGATAGATGCAGTGTCATGGTACTCTTTGCAGCAGGGACGTTTAGAGAGCTTGTTTTGTATATGAGCTTGATCACAGTTCTGTTTTTTTTCACATATATCAGTTAATTAATGAAAGCCATTTTTATGTGCAGCTAATTCCTAAACAACACTTTATAGTAAGCTCATTTACAGGAGCACAACCTTTATGATAACAGAGTGAGAAATTGTTTTTAAATTGATTCCATTTCCACTAAATGTCCTCAAAAATAGACAGTGACCTAAGCTGCAAACATTCCTGTTGTCGCCATGCCTCAGCTAACAGCAACCACACAGCACCAACCGTCGTATCAGCCCCGGGCTAATCCCTCGTGTGAATGGTCACGTTGGGCAGGTGACAGGGGGCCATGTATCCATGCATGGCTGCCAAACCAGATTAAAGTCAGATGGATGGATAGATAAAGGTTGAATGGATACATACACACGACCTGACAGATTGACTGCGTTGCACTCTTTCCCTGAGGCAAGCAGAGGTCATACAATGCAGAGATGACTCAGGTCTTACCGTAGGCACATTAATGAGAAGAGAAGGATGATGCATTTCACCCTCATACTAACCAGGAAGAGCACCTCTGATGGCAGCGATGTGTCTCTGAATGATGAGGAAATAATGATTTATTGATGCTTATGGGAATATCCCTGACACAGTCATCCAACTGTTGAGCGAGTAACACATACATTTGCCATTAATCCCAGGAGCATTTTTTCATGGTTTAAATTGACTTAAACATCATACATCTTCCCTTTTCTGCCTCTGTCATTGCAGATAAGAACTTTGAGGATGAAGATTCAGTGGACGGAGGCCGGTCCTCTTCCTCTTCATCATCCAAAGCACCCCCCAGTGGCAGGAGGACTGTAGTGAGCTCTGTTAGAAGACCAAGCTCAGCCACCACAGCTAAGGCGACAGGTGAGGGGGGGGTCCGGTTCACACAAATGCACACAGCCACAAGATGTTTACTATACAGCACTTTCAACATTAGTAATGGTAAATGTAATGGTAACACATATATTAAAGTCTCCAGACTGCGTGTGCTGAAGGGGTATCACATAAACACTTTCCTGCTGCTTTAATCATTCTTTAGAAATGCTGAAGTGCTGTTGAATCTCAGGAACAATACCATGTGCATTTCCTTTCCAAAGGTAAAGAAGCAGGTGCTGGTGCTGTTGATGAAGAGGATTTTATCAAAGCCTTTGAAGATGTGCCCACAGTGCAGGTATGCTGAGCTATATGTTGTATGAGATGGATTTAAATACACACATGGATCAATGGGTTTTCACATTTTATGGCAAGACAAATTCTAGTCTTTAACAGTTGTCTGCTGTGTTTTTTTTTTTTTTAATGCCTCCGTGCCGGCGATAGCCGTGGCTGGAGGCTTTATGTTTTTGGGTTTTTCGTCCATCTGTCCATCTCATTCTTGTGAGTGTGATATCTCAGGAGCATCTCCAGGGAATTTCTTCAAACTTGGGACAAACCTCCACTTGGACTCCATGAACTGATTAAAATGTGGTGGTCAAAGGTCACTGTGACCTCATAATGTTGTGCATAAAACACTTTACACTATATCTTAGGTGCAGAAGATGGAGGCATTTGGCAGATACTGAATTGGTGACACTCATCTAGGATGTCCACCTTGAAACTGTGCTGTTGTACAGATCTTCTGTGCTGCAAGGGGGAAGATGTGTGTGAAGCATCCGTGTTTTCACAGACATGGATATAAATATGTCTATAAACCTAACAAGTGCAACTTGTTTGGTACAAGTGAGTTTTTATACAAGTGAGCAACATAAAAACAAATTTAAAAAAAACAAACATACGACACAGCACAAGACAAGTGGGGAAACTAGACACAAAAAACTGAAACAAAAAAAAACAAGTACATTGAAAAAAAAATCAAAAAGTTGGCTTAGATTTTCTTGTTGCAGTTCCCATGTGTTTAGGTGTTTGTGTAGGTGGATGGGTTTTCTGAGGGGAGAGAGAGCAAAATTACTAGAGAGTGTTAACCAAAGGAAGATATAAAGAGAGATATGAAGAGAAAAAGAAAAAACAAACAAATATAAACATATCTCTGGCATCTCTGGTTGGGCCCTAAAGACAAAGAGGTGGTGGTGTCATAGAGCATCCGATTGTCCCATCTGACTCTATTTGTTGTTGAAAAAAACAGGGACCTCTCCATAACTATCAATGGGCTGCTTTGTTTCAACAAGACATTTTATGACATCCCGCTCCACATCAAAGATTGTGACTGCTTCTTTATTTTTTGCCACAACAGGGATCTGCCAGGATCCAGCATCGACAGCTTTAGCTAATGTTTTATTTCTTAGCTTTTTGGGGTATCAATTTATGCTAATGATTACATGTCACAAACATGTACTTACACACAGATTTGGAGCAAATGCACTTGTGTGATGTGAAGTATTACCTACTGGCCTCTGTCAAATCTGAGCCTTTAAAACATACACAGTATAGTAAAACAGCTAATTCTGAGGATAGTGACAGCATTATCCATCCTGTCTCTCTCTGTGTCCAGATCTACTCTAACAGAGAGCTAGAAGACCAGCTGACTAAGATCAGAGAAGTGCTGTCTGATGACAAACATGACTGGGAGCACCGAGTGGTCGCGGTAAGACTCAGAAACCAAATGCATACTCACACACACACACACAGAGTGGAGATGCATGAACCCAGTGATGAAATACTGATGAATGTCGTCTCGTTTTTCTTGATCCTTTCCAGCTGAAGAAGGTCCGTTCTCTCATGCTGGCCGGGGCAACAGAGTACGAGGGTTTCCCTCAACAGCTGCGTCTCCTGGAGGCTCCCCTCAAACTGTCAGCTAAAGACCTGCGCTCACAGGTGGTCCGTGAGGCCTGCATCACACTGGGGTAAGATCCCAAGTTGAGGAAGATGTACTGTTTGCTCAGATTTTTTAGATGTTTTTGGGCACAAGTGTGAAGTTCCATTTTACAGTAGCTTTAATCTGCAACCTGGGTTTGAACTGTGTTAAAACTGGCAAATAATGTGAATAAAGGTATGATCATAACAGATTTTTTTTCATCAAACATCATCATTAATCATAAAGTGACATGACTTTTGTCATTTCCACAATCTCAGAACTGCATTCTGGCATTGGAATGGTAAATTGTGGTAAAGATGGTAAAGAATACGAATTTTAGAGCAAAATAGAATCTGTGTTCGAAACAGCAGTGAAGGAGTGCTATGCACAGAGCAGTTGAAGTCTCCATTTTTACATGACTTTTTCTGTCTATTATATTTGATTTCTGAATATTAATATCATACTTTTAATAATAATGTGCATAAATTCAGGCTGATGTAGAGGTTTAGCATCTAGTAACTATAGAAACATTACATACAATTTAAAGGTGGGGTAGGCAGTTTGCTGGAAAAGGTTAAAAAACAAACAAGAAAAAAAACAGCATTTGAAATCACAGCCTGCCTCCTGCAGCTCTCCTCTTGCTGTCTTCAACCCCTCCCACTAGAAAAGCAGGGGCATACACTTCATTCAGTACTTCATTCAGTTCCTGTACAGGTGCTCATCATTCATTTCAGTTATCCTGATTATAATCCTGATGCTGTTATATAGAAGCAATTCTGTGAGATTTACTGTCCCATTTTTTCAGACGTGAGCCTGTAAAGCCCTTTCAGATGACTCAAGACTCGCTCTATAAACATGAACTTAATGTCGGGTACACACTACATTATATCAGCCCAATTATAGCCCAATGCAGCGCCGTACGATTTCGGCTCGGATCGTGAACAACGAGTGTCGTACGTGATAATCCATCGTTTTGTCTCCTGTAGTGTGTCATAGTTAACGACAACCGACCACATCTGGAACGTTCCAACAGAAAGTCTAGCATTTTCGATTTTCTTTTCGTTGTTCACGACTGCTTCCGTCACCGCCATCACTTTTACAAATAGAAACACAAAGCGATCTGCTGCTGTGGACAACTGTATATCAACAACACCCCAGCCTTTTTGATATTTCCTCTAGGGACAACCACATAGAGTGAAAAGGGAAAAATGATGGCATTAAACAGCAGAGGCACTTTAGCAACCCAGTGAGTACTGCCATTGGCATCAGGCTAGCAAAGAATGTTATTTCTTCACAATGGAAGATGTAAAGGAATAAAATTTAAAAAATAGTGGCAGGGCTTTTTACTAACCACAACTGCAGAGGCTTCCAGCTTCATCTGAAACAGACTACATTATAAACGGGCCGTTATTTATTAGTCCCTCTGTATCTTTATATTTTTACTTTTTATCCGCTCCCGTTTGCCTTGATAAAGTTAATGCATCGCGCCGTCATTCCTCAGCCCTTCCTGTATCTGTAAAAACTTAAAAGCCCCTTATAACTTCGATTCAGAGAATCCTTTAATTTTCTAAATAGGCTTCTATTGTAAAACATTTGCAGGAACTTGTTGCAGAGGATTCAGTAACTTGCAAGTTTGCATGTGGAATTTCAAATGCCATCTGGTGGCACTTTTTACGTTATTACAGCAACATTTGGGCTGGCACATGAACAGATACTGTGACTGCAATAATAGTAAAAGTAATAAGAATAGGGCAAGAATAACCCGATGACATCACACACGTTGTGAAGGACGACTGAGGATGATTGGTGTGGACCATCACGCAGTCTGCCATGTCTGTTGGCCAAGTTACAACACAAGGCACAACTTTATGACTCCATAGTCGCCTAATCTGACGAAGTGACTGTCGGACAGATAGAAATGTTGTGTAGTGGGAACCAGCTATTAATTAACCGCAGCTACAAGCCTGTGGCTCTGGTTAGCAGAAAGCTTAACTATTAGCAACATTTTCTCTCTGCCTCTGAAACACTTTGCCGATAATGTCACGTGTTTTACTGACTGAGTCTCTTTTAGAGTTGATGATGTTCTCTCAGTCCACTTAAGTTAAGGTTTGCTCAAAGGTTATCATGGGATTTTTGCCTAATGATGCCAAAATAAAACTGCCTACCCCAGCTTTAAGCACGTTGTATTTGATACTGAAAAAGCACACAGTAAGGTTGGGCAATTATTATACAACATTTCCACATTAACAACCTCTAAGTGAGAGCATAGAACAAAGATGTTGTTTGTTACATGTCAACATTGATTGACTTAAAAAAAAAAAGAGGACAAGCCCTAATACACAGGTTAATGCAGTGAAAAACTTTGGTTGTCATTTGTGTTTTAATTGGAGAGTCATTCAGTTTTCATTAGTGGATCAGCATCAGTTGCCTTGCCAGGGCAGTCTTAATGGATTTGATTGGCAGCAGTGACATTAACTCAGATCTCTAACTCATTAGGCTTTGCCAGAGAAACGCTCAAATATTTTCTTTCCACATCTTTAAGCTAATGAACACGTGCCCTGCTCGGATATGAAACGAGCAGTGTGCCAAAAACCCCAAAACATTCGTCATCCAAATTATAATCCAACCCTGATGAGGTGCAACAGAGCAGAGATGCATGCAAAGAGCAGCAGGTTGATGAATAGATTGGAGTTACATGTATCCTATCATCCTTGTAATGTCACCACAGTTTGCCTTTTAATCCACACATTCCTCAGCTGTGGCAGACTGCATATTGAATTTTTCTTCAGTTTTTGGACCGTTTCAACCTAGATATACTTATTTGATTTTTAGTGTTAACTATTTCTTTCGTTTTCTCTTTCTCTCAGTTTCTCTCTTTTGTGTCTCACCAAAAAGCAACAGCTATCTCATTAACTTACATATGCCCTCTGCCTCTCTCTGATTTCTTTTCCAAAAGTTATTTTCTTACTCTCTGCATTTTACCCCTTAGTTAAAATGCAGAAAGTGAAATCAACTTTAACACATTACAGCAAAGTAATTTGAGGAGTTGTACTTGTAACACACCTGCCACAGTCCTCTTCATGTTGTGAAACAGAGCAGTGACACATCACCATGATGATGGCGTTTACACGTTCTTTAACACTTTGTCCTTCCCTCATTCTCCCCCTGCCAGACATTTGTCATCAATACTGGGTAACAAGTTTGACCATGGAGCGGAGAGCGTCATGCCCACACTGCTGAACCTCGTGCCCAACAGTGCCAAAGTCATGGCCACCTCTGGGGTGGCCACCATCCGCCTCATCCTCAGGGTAAGACACCCAGAGTGGGGAGTTGATGTGGTTAGTCAGGTGTACTGACGTATTGCTTTTTTGAGGCAGCAGAAAGCAATTGTGCCTTTGAGCAAAAAAAACCCCAGTATTTTCTGGTTGTTACACACACAGGAACATGTGGATGGGTGGGTGAAATAATACATTGTTAAAGAGGAAAATATTAATTACATTCTGTAAAATGTGAACATAGGAGAGAGCAGAGCCGCTGCCAGACTGCACATTAAGAGAGATACTGTGCACAGTTACGCACGAGGAGCAGTGTAACTTCATTGATTATTTTAGAGGCTAAAAGTTTTGTTTTGTTCCCTCTGTCGAGTTTATGAGTACAGGTTTGATGCTTAAATGTCCCATGATATTAGCTACAGTAACATTACTGCTCTTACTGCATTACTCTCAGCAGAAAACAACTGGCTTCTCCACTTTGCAGAATCCGTCATGTGCCAGATATTTTTTTGGGCATTTTTGCCTTTAATGGACAGGACAGTCAAGTGTGAATGGGGGGGAGAGAGAGAGGGGATAACATGCAGCCACAGGCTGGACTCGAACCCGGGCCGCTGCAGCAACAGCCTTGTACATGGGGTGCCTGCTCTATCCACTAAGCCACCGACGACCCGTGTAGGCTGACTTTTAAAAAGAATGGGAGAAGACACTGTGACTGGTTGAATTCATGTTTGCCCAAAACACACCTAATTATTTTATTAATCAATTAATTAAGGAACTAAATACAACCCCTTTGCCCCTTGCGCCTTGCTTTGTGCTTTGATTATGCCTCACTTACCAACAAAACTAGTAGGACGTTAAATGCACTAGCATCATGCAGTATAGGTCGTTTGAGTAGAGCCTACAGTCATCTGAGACAGTTATGCTGCTGTCATATATACAACCAGACCACAAAAGCATCATCATGTGAGAATGAAATGATAATTTTAACTATACATAGTGACACATTACATTTGGACTTTTGAAATACACCTTATGTTTTTGTCTTTCTCTTCCAGCACACACACTACCCGCGCCTCATCCCCATCATCACCAGTAACTGCACCTCCAAATCAGTAGCAGTCAGACGGTAAGAGGACGTTAATCCTGATACTAAATGAAAAAGGGTATCTGTTCATACAGATACTGCAGGACAGAAGTAAAACACTTCAGAATTTATTATTTATTATTTCTTCTCAAGAATGAGCAAGATGTTATTTATATCAAACACTATTTTTTCCAATAAAGTGTTAGATATACAGTATAGAATATAAATACATTTTGAGTATTCATTATGTTACATTTAATTTCTTAAGTAGTTTAAAGAAACCATTCTGTCTTTGAAATTCTCTCCTTAAAATGACAGGCAGGTTCTGGTTTTATTTTATATTGTTTTATTGCTTATATAGTGTTGCAGTTGCTTCAATTCAGAGCTCTTCACAAGTTTTTGTTCCTTTGTCATGGTGTTACCTTGTCCCCACTCCAGACGCTGTTATGAGTTCCTAGACCTCATGTTACAAGAGTGGCACACTAATACACTGGAAAGGTAAGTTGTATTTCATGAGTTGGAAAATATCTGCTTTCCTCCAAATCCACAAAAATGCTAGGCAAGTGTGCCACTTGTGCGTGCCAAATGGATAAAGTGTTGTAACATATGTGTGTGTCTGGGCAGAGCAAAGTTCGAGCTTTTGGGTTTGTGGGTGTTTATTTGAAGTGAAGTAACAGCCTCTTCTTCCTCCTCTCACATGATGACATTTGAGTTCGCTAGCATTTGAGTTAGTTAAGTGTGGGTTGGACGCACCACTGATGAGGCCCATTAAATTGATGAGTCCTAAGAAAACCGTCATCATCAAGACCAACAGCGATAAGGCGACTCTCCATCACTGTAAACATGACAACCGCAGCAGAGGCTTTAAAAAGCGTGTGAAAAACCCTGTGAGTGGCCACATTGCCTGTGGACCACCGAAGGAATAAAAGGTGGAGGAGACAGAAAAAGAGAGAGAAGAGATATACACTGCAGGACTTTTCATAGTTTAGCATTTGAGCTCTAAGGTTACAAGAATTGTCTGCCTATACTTCCTGGTTTCACCTTGATCTTGGGTTTAACTGCTTGTGTCCTCCTCACCATGTTCCCCTACTACCCCAGACATGTGGCTGTTCTGACTGAGACCATCAAGAAAGGCATACACGATGCTGACTCTGAGGCCAGATCCATTGCAAGAAAGTAAGTGTCATTGCATCCTAACAGGCTTATTTTATCCTTTTGGTGAACCTTGCTATGTCTTTTGTATCATGAGAAACCAAATATTCACCAGTTTTGACTTTAGATAAGTTTAAAATCTGCCTTCATCCTCTGCTTTTCCTCGCCCTCACCTGTAGATGCTATTGGGGTTTCCATGGTCACTACAGCCGGGAGGCAGAGCATCTGTTCCAGGCGCTGGAGTCCACCTATCAGAAGGCCCTCCAGTCTCACCTGAAGAGCTCTGACAGCATCGTGTCTCTACCCCAGTCTGACCGCTCCTCATCGTCTTCCCAGGAGAGTCTTAAGTAAGAACCATAATGCCCTCCCTCTGTCCTTACCCTTTCTTCACCCTTATCTTCCCATCCCATCCCTATTCCCTATGTTCTGTCTTTACTGTCCTGCTTTCGTTGGTCTTGAGATTACACCTCCTTCCACCCCACTCTCTGTTATCTGTTGTTCTTTGTCATCCTGCCTTCTGCCTTTTCCTTAAAGCTTTTGCACATCTGTTTGCTGCAATTGACTGGAGAAAACCACTAATGCATCTGTCTTATTGAACATGATTGTAAAAACATTGGTAATTGAAGCTGCAAGCAGCGATGAACGGGCCCTCGCAGTCCACGCGCGTCGGGGCATGCTGCCGTCGGGGGTTGTGCACCTAGATGTCTTGTCAGCTGTAATAAATAAAAAAATAAACGTTATCTCTTACTTACATTTCCAGTATACAGGTAGGCATCCAACCCACGTATGTATTTTTCCAAAAAGTAGAAGCTGAATACATGCCCAATAGTTCAAGGTCTTCTGACTCTTTAAAAGTTGACATGGTGTCTCTAGCTCGAAGTATGAAGGACAAGAAGAGGTTGAAAGTCGATGAGTTTTGAAGAGGATTTGAAGATTTTCCAATTTACTTCCGTTCACACTAATTAGACCGCCACCAGAACGCCACCTATTAGCCGATTCGCACCGCATTTTGCAAAAACCCTCATCAGGCCATGGAACACAATTAGCAAAAGTGTTGTGGTAATTGGACTGTATTTGGTCAAGATATGAAAGACTGTCTGTTTTGAAAACAATGTGCAGGAATTTGTTGTTTTATATTTTGGTCGTTTTTTGGACGATCAAAATTCTTTTAATAACTTTTTGTCAGGAGGGTCCACAGATGCTACATGCAAAGTTTGGTGCAAATCAGTCAAATCGCCTAGGAGGAGTTCAAAAAAGTATGTTTTTCATTTGTCGCGATTTAGCGAAAGGAAAGTTACCGCGAAAGTGGCCGTGGCTTACACCACACAATTCAGAGAACACGTAAATAGAAGGTTTAACAATGTGCAACATATTATGTGGGAGTTATTAGCCAAAAATGCTTTTGCATTGAAAATAGCGCCACCTGCTGGTCATTTTTGATGCATGAGTTACAGGGGCCAGTCTTTACCACCCCTATCAATTTTATTTCCATGAGTGTTATGGTGTTGGCACAGTGCTAAATATTAAATTAGACGGCCACCAGAGCGCCACCTAGTGGTGGATTGGTAAGTCCTTCGTCAGATATCCTCAGGAGGGCATTGACAATAATTATACCAAGTTTCGTGTTAATCCGCCCAACCGATGTTGAGATATAAAATACTTCAATTTAAAGAGCGCCACCTTGTGTTCATCACCCAAAATTTTGCACTGAGCCTCAGGGCCTCATGGGGAAGTAGTAAACTGAGTTTCATGTCATTCGGACACACCAATGTGGAGATATGCAGCACTTCCTGTTTTGTACTAAATCTGCAGGAAGTTGCTATTTAATAACTTCAGTATTCTTTGGAATATTGAAATTCTTTTAATAACTTTTTGTCAGGAGACTCCACAGATGCTGTGTGCAAAGTTTCGTGCAATCGGTGAAATTGCCTAGGAGGAGTTCGAAAAAGTATGTTTGCGACATTTTGTGAATTTGCGGGGAAAAAACCGGTAGGCGGAAATGGGCGTGGCCTATATCACAAGATTCAGCACAATTTACTGAACGTGTGGATATAAGGTTTTTGAATGTGTGACAAAGTATATGGGAGTTATGAGCCAAAATGCACTTTCCTTAATAATAGCCCCACCTAGTGGTGGAAATTCAGGAGGACAATAGATTATAAAATTTTTCGCCAGGTGTGACTTATATTCCAAGTTTGGTGAGTTTTGGGGTATGTTCAGGCAAGTGAAAACTGCGATCATTTTGGCGGAAGAAAAAAAAAAAAAAAAGATAATCAGGAGAAAAACAATAGAGACCTCGCAGGTCTGTGACCTGCTCTGGCCCTAATTATTTTCAGATGGGCAGCAGACGGGTGAGCGTTCTCACACACAGCCACATGCACACACTCTTGAATTGATTGGCATCATTTACCCAGTTTGTAGATTCCCCGTGGAGCGTGTTGACTAATGACCTCATAGTCAATCCATCAGGACTGCAGCTGTAGTGGTCATCAGTGTGTGTGTGTGTGTTTGAGGGGGGTGAGCTAATATTTTTCTATCTTACAGGAAGCTAAGGTTCCTGGGAGAAGGTCGCTAACGTGCAGCACTTGCTGTATGGGAAGATACTGTACACGGCCCATTTGTCATTATTATTTTTCTTTAAAGTGCCTTTCAGTACAATGAGTCTATACATTTTACATTTTATATACAATCTTAGATTAATTTTATACAATCTCTTTGCGCTGAATGTGATGTACATAAAGTCTAAAAAGTGTCTCGCTCTTCTTCTGTTTTTCAGCCGGCCATTGTCTGTGAAGAGTGTCATTGGAGGGAGCATAACAAGGAGTAAGCTACTTCATAAGTCAATTTCTATTCCTTGATATAGGGCTTTCCCCAGAAGTGACAGTTATACTGTATACAGTTAGGCAATAGCGTAGAATGAAGCTCCCTTGATTAAAACCTTATTATACCCATTCTGACATCAGCGGCACTAATCTATAGCTTAGTGGTTAAGATGAGATGAGATAAGAGAAAACTTTACTGGGAAATTCATATGCAATACAGCAATAAAAGAAGCAGTGTAAAGGGCTGCACACATGTTGTGTCTTTAACCGCCTGGAAAACGCTTGGTCAGGCACTGGGTGCTACTCTTGTGCCTTTTTTGTGCTAGCTTTCAAGAGCGTGGCGGCAGGTTGTGTCTGAGGTTGCTATGCAACCTTAAGAAGCACCATATCATAGCCTACTTAACTGAAATACTGAGTGCAGAGGTGCTGTTTGTGTGTTTGCCTATTATTCGTGGGACAGATGTAAAGCTCTGGCAGCATTAAAATGATTAGCTTCTTCTCCATATTTACCACAGACTGATACGGCGTGCACTGCTGTATTCTTAATGCTGAAAAAATTGACTACATTAAAAACAATACATTTTAAGGGTAGAATACAATGTGGCATGTGTACTACCCCTGAAGCAGTGGTTCTCAATCTTTTTTGTGTCAAGGACCTCTAAATTGATGCACAATAGGTCACAGGCTCCCATTTAATAAAATTTATGCTTTAAGAACCTCCATCTGAAAAGATTTTGGTTGCTAGATAGGATTGAGACCGAAATTTTGTCTTTGCCAACTTCAGTTGAGGAGATAACCATGGAAGAAGTGAAACCTATAACCAAAATAGTCACATTTATGACTCTTACTGTCACTGGGCTCACTCTTATAGTAAATTAAATAGTGAAAATACATGATTCCTCATCAATTCTGGCAACTTTCTCAAGGACCCCTGGTTAAGAACCACTGGTCTAGAGTCAGGAAAGAGATATAGAACTGTTTAAAATAATCATGACAAAATAAAAAATCGAAGTAAACAATGCCTTGACAGGTCAGAGCCAAGTCTAATCCAAGGAGGCCCCTCTGTGGAACAGGGGTACCTCTGGAGCACTGACATATCAGATCATGATCAGATTTGATCAGATTAGGATCTGGGGAATTCAGAGGCCAGGTCAATGCCTTTAGCTCTTTGTCGAGTTCCTTGGACCATTCCTGAACAGTTTTTGTGATACAGCACATGTAAACAGCCTCTGAGACTATATACTTGTCAATTCTGTGCTGTTACAGGTAAGCTGGTGAGCACCAGGGTGTCTACTACACCGGGTTCTCTCCAGCGTTCCCGTAGTGACATCGATGTGAACGCCGCCTCCAGTGCCAAGTCACGTCTGTCCACCGTCCCTGCCTCCTCGCCGTTCAGCTCTGCAGCTGCCCTTCCTCCAGGATCCTATGCCTCATTAGGTAATCCATCCGTCATCTTCCTCTAACATTCTAAAAGCAGAAAAACAAACCTCTGTATGGTAGTTCTTACCATACAAAAACAAATCTTATTTTGTCCAAGCTGCACAAGCAAACTAGAAGCAAGATGAAAGTTGGCCAAATACAGCTACAGTTTTGCTCACTTTGAGTTATATAAAAGACAGAACTGCTCAGAACAAACACTGCAGTGTTGCACCTGAGAGATTTATGGACCATAAACACCAAGAACAAATAATAACGATAATAATGTGAGCATCAACGCTGATGACCAATAACCTGTGAACAGTGGCACCAAACTTACACTGCGTGTTTCAGCTGTTTTGCCTTTTAAATTCAGATTTTATTTTGGTGTCAGTGGTTTTCTTGTTCTGAAAGAAATCTGTATAATATTGTTCACCACTGTCGTTGGTTTGGACTCTGCCATCCACTTGAGTTAACAAGATTTAATACGATCTATTTTAGGGGTGTACCCAACTCAGAATTATGTCAGTTAAATTGGATTTGGCTATTCAACATGACTATTCATTGCTTTTTTTCCCAAACAGAGTTGGAGACTTTCAGTGGAAGATTGACAGTGACGTTTACATAATATTGTAAACAAGCGAAGTTAGCCTTTTGAGCTAACAATGCTAACAACGGATCAGAAACTTAAACATTCTTTGTCAACACTAGTTATCAAACAAAAGCCAGAGACTGTATTGGTTGACATTGCTGCCCTCTAAACAGCAGGAAGAGGACAGGGGTGGGAGATATATCGATTATACTTGATGTATCACAAGTAGGATGTGTAAAATAACTGTATTGCGAACATTGTATTATCACTGAACCGTAGTTTATTTAATAATTTAGTGTTTTAGTAGTCGACAGTAGTTTAGAGGAAATTTCAAAATATCGTGATATATATTGTGTATCACAATATAGCCTGAAGATATCACAATATTATTTTGAAGCCATATTGCCCAGACCTAGCAGAAGATAATGTTATCTCAGAGCCTGACAGGGCAAAGCCTCTGTTCCTACTGACAGCTGTCTCCATCTTAGACTCACCCTGAGTCTGGGTCCGCAGCTGCCTGTACGGGAGAGCAGCGTAAAAAGCGTAGAGCAGGAACTCGGCAGCTAAAACTGGGGACTGAAACATCCTCAGAAGCACACTGAACACTGACTGACAGGAAATAATCAAAAAGGAAAAAAAAAAACAAAACTGCTCAACGTGAAGGATCTTAGCTGACCCAGGGGTCTCTGACTGACCATTCAAGAATATGTAGATAGCAACATACTTTCAGGGGACAGTCCTAATGTATTTACAGTTATTGTTTGTTATTGTTCTTGGTGTGCATGGCTCCTTACTCTGGTATAAGTATCTACAGCACTGTCTACAGTGTTTTAGCGAAACTCATTTTTCAGAGATCCCCTCAAGCGCTCAGTCTCCCATCATCATGAAGTATTAAGACATTTTCTTCTGTAGTCACTGGCTTTTATGGGCCTGACTGGGGTTATTAATGACTGCTGAGGTTGTCATTAGACTGTTCTGTCAGCAGGAACTGTTTAAGTCCTGTGTTGTCATTTTTGACAAATCGATGTGATGAGGCTAAATGGCCTCCTAGTGTGATTAAAAACCCTAGACACTTTTTAAGGCTGTTTTCACAACATTGTAAGCAGTTGGGGAATGTTTAAGCCATCTCCTGCCAATAGATATAAAATTTACTGTCATCCTTTAGGCCATACAGAAACTTTTCTCCCTATCATGTTCCTCTTCAATGAGTCCCTATAGCTTGATAATGGCCATTACTAATGATGATGAGGCCCCTTGCTCATCCACTCACTCCGGTTCCAGCTTCGATTGCTACTAATGTCTTCCTCTATACCTCTCCTCCCACTCGCTGCTGCACCGCCTTTCTTAAATGCCCAAAAGATGGCACTCCCGGTAAAAGTGATGGTAAGACTTGTGTTTGTGCGTGTGTGTGTGTGTGTGTGTGTGTGTGTGTGTGTGTGTGTGTGTGTGTGTAGTTATGCAACTTGCATAGAACACAAGAAAGTGAAGTTGTATGAGTGTGTCTTTTTGTCAACTGTCATGGGCTACATCCTTCCTCTCCTCATCTGTGCCTTCTTTTCCTCTCTTTATTCCCCCAAGTGGTCGTCAGTTATGTGGAACTGCATGGACTGTCTGCATGGATTTCTTCCTACTGTAACCCTAACAACTGTATCCATCAACTCTGTTACTTACACAGCGATCAAGTCTGATATTACTGGTCCACTCTTCAGGGTTGTTGTTAAAGTTGACAGAGAAGGTTTCTCGGTTTCTTTCTTACTCCACAGAAATTATCGTGCCACTGTAACAGATGGTGCACAGCATTGTGTCATGAACTAAATGGATGCCAAGTTTGGCATCCTACCGATGCTTGCTTTTAACTATCCTTTGCTATGTGGAGTATCATCAGGGTTGGTCAAAGACTTGGACTGTTCTGCTGTGTACACAATAAGGCATGAAATTTATGAATCATATCATTTGTTTTGTGATGTCATGTAAGGTTTCACTCTACAGATCCTTTTTTTTCTCTTGTCAGTCACCAACATGTCAAATCAGCTAGTTGTCATTTTTTATAATCTGAACAAAAAAAGCCTTTAGCCTAAATCTTGATAAGTTTGAAGATATTATTGCACACAGTGAGATCCAGCAGTAACACTTCCTCTCCACTTCAAGCAGACTTTTATTTTTAGCTTGCTGTGTAATTTTTGTTATCACACTCACACCCACAATTCTTGACATATTGTGTAACAGGTTACTACAATAGATGGTCTAGGTGAGATAGCTTTTGCCCTTAACTCATCATGAAATCCTCCAGTGGACTTGCTAGTTACAGCTCATTTTTATCACACCTCACGTTTATAATGGTGCTTTGAAGTGAGAGGTGAAAGTTTGTGTAATTTTTGGCCTGCACGTGTGTACTGCACTGCCAATTAAAAGTTTGGAATCAACTGTTATATTGATGTTTTTCATTCCTTCAATAATGGCCATTTTAACAGAGATAACAATGATATAATTCACACACCAAATGTATTATTTAAATTTAAAATAGGTGAAATGATTTAAACTTCCATTTAGTCGATATCCCCACAGAGTTGCATGATGGGAAAATACTGTTGGATTCTGAATTTGTTTTGTAGTTATCTAGTAATCAGTGTCATCTAGAACATTTTTCCCAATTCATTGTTTGTGGAGCAGCTCCAGACTTTATTCGTCATGACATCACAAATTTGAGTTTAATTTGAGTGGCTTCAATCATAGGAATTACATGTATACATTTTGATAATGGGCGTGGGTCCCCTTTAAATTTGACTAACAGCTCCAGACCCACTGCATGTATAATGTAACAATACCATGACATGCTAAATTTTTGATGTTGCACAGTCTCAGTAGAAACTCACCAATTTAGGGAAAGGTTTCTGTCAATTTTCCATTGCTACCTTACAACCTTAAGCTAGCCTTTTAGCTTGCAGCTAGCAGTGCCCAGTGGCCTAAATCAGGAAGCTGACAATTTTTTTTTCAGAAGCCAAACTTCAAATTCAAAATATGTTTTTCTACTCATTGTAAGAATGAGTATTATGGAGATTTGACTAAATGTAAGAGTATTTCTCGTGTTTGCAGGTTTTCCTGTCTCTGCACCATCAATAGTTGTGATTAGAGGCATTATGTTTACGGATTATCTGTCCCATTCTTGTAAATGCTTTATCTCAAGAACGCCTTGAGGGAATTTCTTCTGATATGGCACAAACATTCACTTGGACTCAACAATGAACTAATCAGATTGTGGTGGTCAACGGTCAAGGTCACTGTAACCTCCTCTGTCTCATTCTTGTGAATGTAAAACCTCAAGAACACTGTCCGTCATTCTTGTGAACACGATATCTCAAGAAAGCCTTGAGAAAAGTTCTTCAATTTCATTTTCACTTGGACTCAGCAATGTACTGGTTAAAATTTGGTGTTCAAAGGTCAAGGTCACTGAGACCTTGCATCATTCATATATCTAATAGGATAAAATGATGAAGTGATGACATTTTATGTCCAAAAGGTCAAAGGTCAACACCACTGTTACATTATAATGATCTGCAAAAACACTTTTCTGGCCATTATTCAACACCATATCTCAGGAACATTTGGTCAGATACTGAATTGGTGACACTAATTATGGGTATCCACCTTGAAACTGTGCTGATTGTATAGATCTTCTGTGCTGCTGGGGGGAAGATGTGTGTGAAGCATCCATGTTTTCACAGACATTGAAGCAGACTTTAAGTGTAACTTGAGTGGTTTGACATACAACCGCAAAGCAGTTAATTCTAGTTTAGCATAGGGTACTGGCTGCTGCAAAGGATAGTCAATGTTTGTCTTTCTCCAGACCTGGGTCAAAAAGTTTGCCAGCATTTCTTATGGTTTGTTTTATCACAATAAGGCACACAAGTGGGAAATGACACAAGTACTTAAATGTTATTTAAGTGGTGCTTCTCTGTGTCCTAGCTAGCACAACCATCCTGATCTCTGGTTGAAGGTTAAAACTAACACTAAGAATTCTCTGCAAACTAGTAGACCCAGGTCTGTCTGTTTCCCTCCTGTGTGTTTTCAGGGGGGCTCTATCCCCTCAACCAGGTCTTCTTCATTCTGTCTCCCCAGACTTGTACCTCTCCAGCATCTTTGTCCAGGGTTGGGGTGATCACTTTTAAGTCATTCACGTGGATTTAATATCAATGTCTTCCTTCCCTCCCTCCCTCCCTTGTCATCCAGGTCGTGTTCGTACCAGGAGGCAAAGCTCAGGCAGCGTGGGTGGAGCCAGTACCTCAGTGGTGGACAGTAGGGGGCGCAGCCGAGCCAAAGTTGTCTCCCAGTCTCAGCGTATGTACATGCACCCCGCACAGGTTCTCATACAGTGAAGCTGAATTGAAATCAGAGTCAGAATGTCTTTAGTCAAACTATACACACTCTCTGTGTTACACTCTGCATTACACAGCTATGTGTGTGCATACTGCATACCAATCTGTCACTGTCATGTTTCAGTATGATCTCTGTATACATCGGCTTCGAGATCATACTGGATGTTTTGCTGTTTCTTGTATATGTGTGTGATGTTTCATGCGCTACAGCACCGTGAAAACACTTCCAGTCCCTCACAAATCTTGTGTATTTGTGCAAGTGTGCCCACATGCATGCACAGTGTGTATACATGTTGGTATCTATGTATTCTTGAGATCTGGCAGTAATCGGTACCCAGCTACAATGTCCAGAGTGCCTGCTGGGTAAGTTTGATAAACATAACCCCTTTTGTCTCATTTTGACCGTTCTCCACCCTGTCCTGCCTATTGCTTCCATCACCCAGGATCCAGATCAGCCAATCCCATCAATGGTAAGGCCTCAGCTTCATCCATTCACAAGCCAGATGCCTCGTTCCCCCCTCGCCACCAAGCACATAGAACTTTGCACTCTGTCCCATTCTTATAGCTTTTCACATGTAGCATGCTGCGCCCATCACATTCACACTTTTATTTCTGATTACTTTTCCCCCACAGTTTGACAAGCTGTTTGGAGCCGGAAATGTTTGCTGTCAGTCATTTTCTTGTTTCTGTAGTTGTTGTGTTCACTGTTGTATGTACCATAGTAAATGTCTTCCCACAGCACAGTTAGTTACAACATGGGTCCAGCCCCCCTCACAGTGTATGTGTGCGTGTATCTAGACTTTTACATCTGTATTTCTTCATGTAGATTCTAATTTATTTTCTTGTGAAGTTCTGTTTGCCCCACATGCTGTATTGTCATCAAAATAGTATTCATTCACCTTCAAATATAACTGAATCCATGAAATATATGACGTGGGTTTATATTCCACACTGAGATGAATAAAAGTAAAAGAAGACATAATAGTTTATGTTGCTGCACTGTCCCCACAGCACTGGATCTGTTGACACTTGGCTAGTGTTTTGAGATTTGACCAAGCATGTTATTAAAGGTTGCACCACTCCCTTACCTTTATCCCAGCCAGTGTCTCAGCCACTCTGGGTACTGTCTAACCACTGTACATGTTTTTGTGTCTGCTTGTTTTTTCTCTCCCGACAGCCGGCAGTCGCTCCAGCTCCCCGGGTAAGCTTCTTGGCCACAGCAGCTACGGCCGGATCCCTCGAGCCACGATGTCAGCCACCACCACGCCAGCAGACAAGCGCAGCAGGATCCCTCGCAGCCAGGGCTGCAGCCGGGAGACGAGCCCCAGCCGACTAGGCCTTGGTAAGGCCAGGACTCCATCTTTAGTAACAAGCTACTGTAGCTCTGCAGGACTATGTGGTGTAAATGTGGAAAAGTCATTACTGTGACCTCTATAGTTAGTCTTTCTTAAAGTTTTAAATTCTTTGACATCCCAAATTGAAGAATGCTTATTGTGTAAGCAATGCATTGTTCATTTGATCAGTTGATTCCATCGGCTACATGAGCAGGAGGTTGTCTGTGAGTGTATGGTGAAGGAAAAACAAGAAACTAAAATGTAATATATCATAGCGTTCATAGTGTTCCTGTAGTTCATTTTTATTGCGAAGAATCTATAGGAAATTAAATGTTTATCAGTGAATTAGCAGAACTTGTTAGCAGCTTTTCTTCAAAAAAGACAAGCCTAATAATACTGTAGGGAGGAAGAATTAAAGCAAAATTGCCCATAGTGAGATGTTAGATTCAGAGCTGCAGACAGCAGGCTCTTACTGCACCTTTGCTAACAGCTCACCTCCAACAGGTAAACTTCTTTTACCTGCCCTGCTGTGGAAAAACACATGTAGCATCACCAGTGAAAGACATATCTTTAAGCGGGTAGTCCTGTTGTAATGAAGACGCAAATCCCTGCCGCACTGGGTGGACAGGCCAAACCAAACAAAACCAAGCTAAGGTCAAACCGGCACATGACTGTCGAAAAGGGGTACAGGGTCCCCAAAGCTGCATGAGGGGTCGAGAGACCTCTTGATTTTAAGCAGTGTGAGAAGACTTTTAAAACATATACAGTACACACATATGTACAGTTGGCCTAATCTCAGCATTTCATTCATTTTTGTGAAGAACATTAAATTATTATTATTTTTTTAAAGTTTAGATTATTGTTTAAGATAGAAACTTCAAAAAATCCCAAGGGATAAGGGCACAGTGAAGACCTGAACACAATCTGTATTCACAGAGCCTTCACTCTGCCTCATCCTGCATCAGAAAAGTAAACAGTGAAAACAACCAAAGAGCTAATGTGACAATGACCAAGTGCAGGGAGAAGAAAACACTGCATTAGTCAAAAAAAAGAAAGTGTTGTTAGTATGAATGATTGTTGAAAATTTAAAAAAAAAAAATACATAATACAGCAAGAGAGAGAATACTATAAAATATTTCTTAAGATATCAGACAAACTTATGCCTGATAGAATATTCACAGGACTCAATAATCAAAATTCACTGAAATCACTTGTTTTACACAAATTTCCTGTAGTTATTGAGTTCACCGTTTGGGTTAACTGTACAGTTTATCGGTTGTTCTGTACTGTAATTATTATGCATTGAATATAAACTATCCATAAAATATCTAACGTAGTCAGGGGTCATCAGTTCACTCAATCACAGGAAAGGGGTCCCTTAAGGAAAATGGTTGGAAACCAATCCACACCATTACAATGTGCAGGCATTGTGACAAGCCTCAGCAATAAGTTACACACTGACCACTCACATACTCCACATCATTGACCACCCACTTATAACTTGCATACGTTGACACGGGATTATGGACTTTCCTATTTTCACTTCCTGATAAAGAGATAAACTCATGTTTGTCCTTTGAAACCCTGCAGCACTCACATTTCCTGCACTCTGACGATAAACATTGCACATGGAAGCAAAGGTTCTTATTGTCCATCGGCTTATTATTTACACAGACAAAGAAAACAGTGTTTTTGTGTCATCATGTTCATGCATAGTTTTGTCTTAAGTTGAACACCCTTTACATATCCATTCAGATGTGTGATTGGTTTAGAGAGAGCAGTGGTTGTGGGCGCTGTAATCTCTTTTATTTACTTGAAACTGAGATTGGAACCACAGACATGGTAAAATCCTGTTGATACAAAAAATTAACTGTTGCTGTTCAACTAACATTGGACCCAGTACAATGAGGCTATCCAGCTGTGCAGATCCCAGCACTGGATGCAAATGTCCGGCAGAGTCAGATATCCTTCAAGAGCTGATTCAAAAAGAGGAAATGATGAATGTTTCTGATTAATTGCAGATTTTTCATTTTTGTTCTGTTTTCAGCTAGTTTCCATGTTTCGATAAGGGGAGGGTACTGTTCATGTTCTTCTGTTACTACCGTTTTTATCACAGTTTGATGTGTTTTTTTAAATCTAAGTTACAAACCCTATACTCCTTTCCTTACTGATCTAATTGTTGTCACATGTTAACAGAAGCTTGCGTTGCTCTTTGGAGTGTCCACACTCTCTAACCTTCACTAGCAGTATGCCGTTTGACCATCTCACTCACCCAGTATGCTGTTATTGCTTCTGCCTGTTTTACTGTGACTCTGTTTCTCTTCTTGCTCTTCACTTTCATTTCTTCTCTATCTTCTTCTTGTCTCTCCAGTCCATTTTTGCTTACCTTCATATTTTGGGCACCAAGGCCACTGGATAATGATGTCAGTGGTATCAATCAATCAAACAAACTTTATTTATATAGTACTTTTCATTCAAACAGAATGCAACACAAAGTGCTTCACACAATAAAAACAATACAGCAATACATCAATGAATCCCAGAAATCAATAGGTACTAACAAATAAATATAAATATAAATATAAATCATGGATACGGACAAAAATAAGAAAAAAATTGTTTGCATATTTCTTGCTGAATGAGGCCCAGTGACATTTGTTAAGGACATCCATGTGTTCAAGACAATAAAATCTGATTTTATTTATTGACCATATAGCCTGTCGTTAAAGCTAACCTCATTTTAGTACCACCACAAGCAAAGTTCTGTGAATAGCAAAGGCACCAGTTTGTTGTTTCAGCCAGGACTTTGTCGGGTGTCAGGAGTATTGCATTCCCAAGGCACAGTACAGTCTGCAGGGCTTTGTACTTTCTGTCTTCTTCTTTCATGACCTCTACTACTCTTCTTCTCTTCATTTCCGACTCTCACCCCCATATTCCCTCATGAATGCTCACTGACATTCCCACTTAACTTGTTGTCCTGACAGCCAGCCTGTGTGGTAAAGCTCTTCTTCCTGCTGCTCTTCCCTACCGCACGCTAGCCCGGAGCCGCATTCCCCGTCCCAGCATGAGTCAGGGTTGCAGTCGCGACACCAGTCGCGAGAGCAGCCGCGACACCAGCCCTGCTCGGGGCTTCACTCCTCTGGGTGAGTACCGCTGAGCTAAAAGCTGTCCGGACTGCCTCTCCCACTGAGTGTTTTAACAGCAGAATCTTGGCAGATGCTTACATGAGCTTCCTTCCTGTTGTCTGTGTTTTTGTAGTGTTATTCTATCTCTGCCTGTCTTTCTGTGTGCATGCACTAATTATGTCTTTCTGGGTTTAAGGGAGGATTACTGTTTTGTGTCCAGTGTCTGTTCTGAATCCTGTTTTTTATTATTATTATTATTATTATTATTATTATTATTATATGGTATTACTGAGAAAGTACCATATTAAAATGTATCTTCTTGACTCTTGACTTTTATTAAGTTGAATTCATGTGTGTCAATAATTTCTAAATAAGTCAGTGTACAAATGTTGGGAATTTTAAGTATAAATGAAGTAGATGAAACAGAAACAGCAAGTAGTAGTTACAGTGAGTATTCAACCCACGCACAGTACAGTAGCTGCTACTTTAGCTCTTGTGCTGTTACATACTGGTGATGTCGTAACACTGCAGCCAGTAGGGTATCGTCGAGGGATCTACAAAACAGCATATCAGCTGTAGGACTGTCACTGCTGTTAGCATAGCATAGATTAAATGCTTTTTATGCTTCCATGACAGCAATAGCAGTGGCCAGAGGCATTATGTTTTCAGGTTGTCCCTCCATCCGACCACCCATCTGTCCTACTTATGTGAACGTGATATCCATAGAATGCCTTGAGGGAGTTTCTTCAAATTTGGCGCAAACATCCACTTGGACTCAAAATGAACTGATTAGATTTTGGTTGTCAAAGGTCAAAGATCAAAGTCACTGTGACCTAACAACAAAACATGTTTTTGGCCATAACTCAAGATTGTATATGCTTATTATGACAAGGATTCACACAAATGTCTAATAGAATAAAATGATGAAGTGATGACATTTAATAACCACAAGGTCAAAGGTCAGTTTTCTGGCCATTACTCAAGCTCGCATCTCTGGAACAGAAGAGTAGCAATTTGGGCAGATAATGAATTAGTGACACTAATCTTGGGTGTCCACCTTGAGACTGTGCTGATTGTATTGATCTTCTGTGCTGTCGGGGGCAGATTTGTGTGAAGCATTCATGTTTTCATAGATGTGGATCTAAACTGTTAGTGTAACTTGATTTGCGGAGGCATACGACCATGAGGCAGTAATTCTAGTTTATTGTTGTTGTAAAGGTTGTTATGGTTGTTTCTATGGACCATCAGTCTGTAGCCCCTTGTACACAGCCCGTTCAAGGTGGGAATGTTGTGCATTTATCCCCCCTTGTCATTCCGTGTAAAACGTTGAAACACAGAATGGGGTCATTGTTGTTTCGCTGTCAAGCCAGAGGTACAGTAATAACAGCCGATTTGACGTGTTAAATGACACTGGGTGCAAACATTGTTTTGTTAAACATAGGGATGCACCGAATATTCGCTAACTGAATATATTCGGCCGAATATTGCAAAAAAAACACACATTCTGTATTCGGTGGAATAAGTGAAAAGCAAGGCCGAAAAATAGCGGCGTGTTTTGATGATGCAATCAAACAGCGTGCGGTGACGGACCGAGTAAAATATCGGCAGTTGCGACTAAAAATAGTTTTGTGCGAGCAAAAGAAATCATTCAGGAGCACGCTGTGCCAGTACAGATTTCAACCAGCAGCAGAAACGAAAGGCGAATCCTGTCGGTTGTGGGTTGAACGGGGGTCACAGACACAGACAGGAATGTATTCCTGTCAAATACAGCGGCCATACTGCTCCGCAGCGCAAGATAACGGCTTACTGGCTATGGAGAAGCCCGGCTCCAGGTGAATAAGTTGGCGTCATGACTGCCCAAAAGTACCTGGACAGCCGAGCCGTGGTGGCACACAGGTATGTGACGTGTCAGAGGAGAAACGAGCTGTTCACGTTTCTCTCTGTGTGGCAGGTAATGGTCCACAAACCTCACCGCGCTTTAGGGACTGTTCTTTACTTGTGAAGGGACTGTTCTTAATTTGTCAGGGGAGGAGGGTGGCTGGTTGATTTTTATTTTATTTATTTATTATATTTTGATCCCCCCTATGTTAATCACTTATTGATGCCGTTTTTGAAGTATGAATAAGTCAATAAGTAATTCATTCCATTGAAATATCAGTGATGTATTATAGAAAAGTGATTTATCTTTTTATAAATGACAAAAGGCACATCTGCCTCATTTTCGCTGTGGTATCGTGATACTACTCAGAACCGTGATACTTTCACTGGTATCGTACCGTGGGTTCCAATTTTGGTACCGTGACAACACTAATCTGGAGGGGCTTCATCTGCAAAAACTAATGAAAAACTAAACATCGGTATTCGGTATTCGGCCAAGCGTTTAATTTTATTCGGCTTCGGCTTTGGCATCCCTAGTTGAACATCACACAGTTTTTGCTTCTGGAATGGCAGCAGGCTGTCTGGAATCACACACTGGGGAATCTGGCGCTGTTTGGGTCAGTGTAGAAAAGCAAAGCTGGTGTAATGGTGGATCTTCTTTACGACAATATTGTGGAATCCCTGCATAAGAGGGTATAAGTGGTGAAGTTGTTAGTAATTTCTTAACACTGTAGAGTCTTCACAGAATTCAGATTGCTCAGTTTATTCTGAGGGGTGATGTTTAGTTTTGGATGCATTTGTCATGAGGTACAAAGTGTGGAATGAAATGCAGGTACATGTCATTTACAATGGGCCACCCCCTATTCTACTGTACTGTATATCCAAATATAATTCAGTAAGATGTGACCCTTTTCACACTGCAAAGCTAACTCAAATCTCTCACCTATTGGTCAAGACATTAAAACCACTAACAGAGGAAGTCAAAAACATTGACCCTCTTTTTACACTGCAATTTCTGTTGGAAAAACATTGGGTCCGGACATTCCTGTGCATGTCACCTGATGTGCACCACCCACCTGAACACCGTTACAGACCACGTACAGCCCCTTATGGCACTAGCACTCCCCAATGGCAGTGGCCCCCACAGCATGACAGTGCATCATATCACACCGCAAAAACTGCTCAGGCATTGCCCCACGAACGCGACAGAGAGATAAAGGCGTTGAACTGGGGCCGTATTCACAATGCTTCCTCGTGCAAAGAGTTGCTCCTAGTGATATAATTCTAAGAAAATTTTTAGAATTGTGACGCTTTCTTAGAATTTCCCCTTAAAGTTAAGACTAGGTCCTTGTAAAGATAAAAGTTATTCACAAAGCATCTTAACCCTTGAAAGGGCTCTGAAGGTGAAGAACTGTTAGCAGGGAGGAGGACTTTTAAGAGGCTTAAGAGTTTCTTAATCAGTGGAGAAAATGGTGGAAACACAAACAGGTCGGAGAAATATTCTCCAAACACTGAATGACAGTGAGTAAATAAAATGCCATAGATTAGATTGTGCAGGGATAATATTTGTGGTCGATCTAATTAGGGGTATGCACGCCTTTCCCACCTAACACAATATCATTATAATGCCAGAAATAAAATGATAGCAACACTAAGATACTTGAAAAACTGGAAAAATGCAACAGTGCAGCAGTGATGACTTGGGTCTATCTCAGTCTTCCATCAGCAGTGATCACACTAACACTGTCACAGTCAGCAGTTCATCTAAATTCCACTGGGTGTCCACATTTTGCAGGCTCACAAAAGGGTGTGTCTCTGAAAACCAATCACATCTGTTAAAGAGAAAGCATCACACCTAGCAACAGGGTCAACCACACCTCCTCACTAATATAAAAGTTTCTGTTTCCTCCCTGAGAGTTGCTCTGAGAACTTTCCTAAATCACTTCTAATCTAGGATGCCTTACTAAAAGGTTTGAGGCTAAGCTAGGAGCTCTCTGAGAGTGTTCTCAGAATGTTGGTGAATACGGCCCCTGGCCTTTAAATTCCCTGGATGCCAGTCTGATCAGGCTTCTGTGGGACATGCTGATGCCCCACCTCACAATCCACAGGACTCAAAGGATCTGCTACCAACACCCTGGTGCCAGACCTCAATAGGTCAGAGCCAAGTCCGATCCAAGGAGTCCCCACTGTTGATCAGGGGTACCTCTGGGGTGCCCACATGTCCCATGAATTTTTGATCAGATTGGAATTTGGGGAATTTGGAGGCCACTAGTTTGATGCCTTTAGCACTGTGATGTTCCTTTGTCCATTCCTGAGCAGTTTTTGTAGTGTGGCATGGCGCATTGTCCTTCTGGGGGGGAGCCAATGCCATGAGGGGGGTGTACTTGATCTGCAATGGTGTTTGGGTGGGTGGAGCGCGTCAAGCGGCATCCGCATGAATGCCAAGCCCCAAGGTTTCCCGGCAGAACATTGCAATGTAACAAGAGGATCAATATTATTCACTTCGCCTGTCAGTGGTTTTAACATTTTGGGTGATCGGTGTATCAAAAAATGGTACTCATTTCTGCAAGTGAAAACTTGATGTAAATATCAAGCTACCTTGTTTATTTTCAGTCTAATCATTTATTTTCAAAATAAAAACAAAAACATGTCAAAATCAGGCAGCAGTGTGAAAATTACCTCTAGCTCAGAGGTTTAGGTATTAAACCTGTACTATGTGTCACTAACCCCCTGGTCTGGATGTTGCCCACCTCTCCTGTCCCCTGCAGCCTCCCGACGTCACTCCCGTTCAACCAGCGCTCTCTCCACAGCCGACCCCCACAGCCAGTCAGGTGACCTGCATGCCCAGACCTCCCGGTCCCTCTCGGTCCCCCCCACCCCACGATTCCCTACGTTAGAGGCAATAATGCCTACCGAACCAGCATGCTTCTGTTGTTGTGTAAAGTGATGTGACTGAAGGCAGCATCATTCCATTACTTTATGCTCCTTCCCGGTATCCTTGAGCTTTTTTTTGAGTATTTTCGCAAACAGGAAAGGTGAGAATGGACAGGTTGTATTTGTTTAGCATGTGAAGGGAAACATCATGTTTTCATTTGCTCGTCCATGAATCACAACAATTTTTGTGATCTACAGCCTGAATTAGCCCAGCTTTACTTGTTGTTTGCCATCCTTTGAACTCTGTGAATTGTGCCACTGTTGTTTTTAATTTTTAACATATGAGTTCGTGTTTAAGCTCTACCTCTTTGGTGCATCATTGGTGCTCTACATCCTTCATTTCCCCGAGAAACGGCATAGCTACAATGTATGCTTGTTGTTTTAGTCTTATAGTTTGGCCATCCTCTATTTGTGTTTTTCATTTAACATTTGGTGGTTGGTGACTCCCTTTGGTGGTCTTTCAGGTCATTCACTTACAGTACATTGCTTTTTATTCAAAGGTGGCAAAAGCAAATAGTAATGTTCTCTGTGTGGTTACAAAAATAAGAAAAGCATCCTTGTTTTTTGTCCATTCAGGTAAGTTACAATAGCCACCTTTACTTTACTTTATTACTAAGCTTTACTCACCATCTTCCTTTACCCTTTTCTTTCCCAATTTGTGTCTAGACCGATATGGTTTAATTCACCAAGCAAGAATCTCTGCATCAGTCAATGCCATGAGGGTCCTTAACACTGGCACTGAGGTGGAGGCAGCAGTTGCCGATGCTCTGGTAAGATGCTGTGAAATCTTTGCCTTCCGTAAAGACATATTTTAATATGTTTGATTTTTAGAGGGGCATTGTTGTTAAAACAAGGAAAAGGCAAAGTTTTCATGCACACATTCTGTATAGATTTAGTTGGCTGAACTGCAAAGTTGGGTGTCAGTACAAAAGTGCTTTGTACCTGACTTTAATATCTTAGAGGGTATTAAAGTCTTTAAGGGGACCTATTATGTGTGCTACTGCAAGTGTTTACATACACATGTAGCTACATACTAACGTCAGGTGGTTTATTTCTCCCAGATATTTGGATCATATTCATGTTGGAACATGTTCAGATCTGAAGATTTTAGTTTAGAAGCTTTTATTGGTGATTTTTACCTGTAGAAAGTGCCACTACACAGTCACTCCCTGGCTGCAGTGCAGAGACCCCGAGATACAGAAAACCCAAAAACATTGACCAGCCAGAGCAAGCTGGGCTTTTTCAGGAGGAGGGCTTAAAGATACAGGTGCTAAAACAGAGTGTTTTGGACAGGGTGAATACAGGTGTTCCAGCACAGACAGTTTAAGAAAATAAAGGTTTTTTTCACCAATAAAACAATACAAGTATGAATGGGAAAAGAGCATAATAGGCCCTTAATTCCTAAATTCAGTTGACAAAAGCCTGAATTTTTTTCTGTGGGTTGTCAAGATTGTTTTGACAGTGGATTTAGCACGCAGGAGACTGTTCAATCCTTTTTTGTAGAGTCAGCACCATTAGACCTGCTACAGACACTGTCACTGCTGCAGCCACAGTGGGCTGGAATCTCATCATCTTATATTGGGCAAATGTTGATGATTGCAAAAACTTTGATTAAATTGATATATCATGTTTTCCATTATCCATCCAATTTCTGCCACCTAGGTCACATTAATTGTTTAGTCATGATTAAAGGTATATTACTAGGATCTATTTTTATATACAGCAGACAAAAATGTGATGTGTCAATAAATCCATGTACTTAAAAAGGCATTTTGTCCTGACTGGTCACCTGTCCTCCTTTGACCAGTATGACTTTGAAAACGGCATTACATTGCAATGTATTATTTATTTAAAAGGGCTTGAAAAGACTTACATGTATTTTGGTGAACTGCAGAAACCCAGTGAGAATGCATAACTGGAGGTGACTTTGAACACTGGTTAGGGGGGTTTTGCCACTATGAGTGTGTTAAACTTAGGGTGCTTTTACACCTGTAGTTTGGTTCATTTGGTCCACACCAAAGGGAAAAAAATAATACATTATTGCATTTTAGTTTTGGTTTCCTTCCTGTTCACACTGACTTTCTGCAAAGGAACAAAGAGGAGTAAACATGAAGTTCTGCCAACTGACAGGTGACTCATTGATTGGTCAGTTTTGATGTTTGTCATCCTGTATTATCAGGACCCACAAATCAAATCAATCAATCAAATTCTGTTGACTGACAGAAGTTTCTGCACTTAAATGCTTCTAAAATGTTAATATTTATGCTCTCTGGTTTCACAAAGAGCTCATAAAGAACTAACTGATTGTAAGCATTATAAGGAGGCTGTTATTAGACTGCAAATCAATGGCATGTTATGAATAATGACTAATACAGAGACAGGATGAAAAGAAAGTATCTTGTACAGTAATGATTTGGGGCTTAATTCTGTGGGATCACTGTCACACACTTTTTAATGGACTTAATGAAGAGACAAAGTACACAGTGTCGGTCACAATGATGGCAGTCTTAACAGCTTTTTAATCAGGGAAAACACCCTCCCTGACATGCGCACGTTAACAGTGTTACATGTATGCACTAGTATAAATAGATTATGTGATACGTGGCCTTTATCAGGATCAATTACGAGATCACAAACAAATTTCACAGTTAGCAGATGGATTTAATGTTGGTTTAGCTTTTGAAATCATGCTATAGTCACATATCTGCTGTCATGAAATCCTGTGTTTGGTTTGTTTTCCTTAGAAAAGTATGATAAAAAATAGGACACGCACATCCCCGAAGCCCACTGGGTTGGGTGCTAGATCACAAAGTATCAAAAGCATGAAAAAAGACGAAAGCGATCCGCACACCAAAAGAGCTCCCGTATGCAAGTGACGTTTCGAGCGTGACGCTCTTCCTCAACCTGCTAATCATTACAGTGAAGTCGCCATCTTAAATACCCAGAGTGCAAAGATTCCATTATGAGGTACATCTCTAATAGCAGGAGTACAATTCTGCCATATAAAATAAAATATAATGTTTAGTGGTACATATATATAAAACATATATACTACGTAAACAAATATATAATATGTAGAAAAATATATTGAGGATTTTATATACATATAGAGCTGGAACACCCCACTGCATAAGGTTCAGAAGATACAGTGTACGGGTCAGGTTGCTGCAGCCCTACATGAACATGATCAAGTACAAAAACATGTACCACTAAACATTATATTTTATTTTATACAGCAGAATTGTACTCCTGCTATTGGAGATGTACCACATGATGTAATCTTTGCACTGTGGGTATTTAAGATGGCGACTTCATTGTAATAATTAGCAGTCTGAGGAAGAGCATCACGCTCGAAACGTCACACATAATAAAAATTGCATACGGGAGCTCTTTTGGTGTGCAGATCGCTTTTTTCTTTTTTCATGGTTCGTTTTCTTTCCCACCACAAACAAACCATGAACCAGAGTCCATGTTGAAGCAGACCAACACCCACCTTTACGAGCAGTCTTGGTCCAGTTGTTTGGTCCACACCAGGGTTTGATTGACAGCTTTCACACCAGCCCAAACACACCACACTAACCACACAAACGGACCAGAATTTGTTTTAACCGAACCAAACAGGTTAAGTGTGAAAACACCCTTAGTGTTGCTTTGAAATAGCATACCAAAGCCAGAGATAGTGGGACATATGTTTCTAAAATCAGGATGTTTTTTTAAACCTTTTACAAATATTTGGACTTTTAAGTTTTAAAAAGACACAGAGACATACAGGTGTTATCCAGCCACAATTTGTATTATTGGTCTGACACATATCTTTCATGCTTGGGTAATTTGAGTGGATGTTTTCTGGACTTAATCTCTGAATAGAAACTGAGTCAGCAAAGCATATTCAATTCTTAGTCTAAATGTATGCTCATACAATAGATTACAATGGCTATGAATATTAACAAAATGTCCGCGTGTTCCTTAATTATGAGCTTTACTGAGAGTAACTGTACTTGTTATTTGTTTCCCCTTTAAACCTCCCCTCTCTCATCTTTCCTTCTTGGTTGTTTGTTACCATTTCAGCTATTAGGAGACTCCAGGAATAAGGTAGTTGGTCATTTTACATACTGTTCGTGTATCCATGCCATCATGCACTAATCAAGTTGAGAAAACAGTAATGCAGCTTGACTCATCAGATTGGCTCATGACACTCCTCTACCCCAGCCCCTGTTGTACTTCTTTTTGATTGAATTTTACCTTGAATGTTTTTGTCCATCGCATTGTGGTTGTGTGCATCTACAGCATTGCACCCAGCTTCTTCTTTTTTTTTTTTTTCACCTTGTGATATTATTGAACCTCATTGTTTTGGTGCATTATTCATATGTGATCATGAGATAAATATGCTCTACTCTTTGAAGTGTCCCCCACTGCATTGCATTTGTAATCAAGACCTTTTGCTGACTTATGGCACTGCTTGACTGGCTTTTGATTTGAAACAACAAAAAAAGTATAACTTTCAACTGAGGAATTAGGCACCACAACTGGGTATGTATCCAGTTTGCCCTTAAACTTAAATTAACATCCAGAGAACTGTACAGGAAACTGCATGGCTCCCTGATGCAACTGGCAACCTTTTTTTAACTAGACTTTTACATCAAGACTAAGTTTATTTCCCTAAGCACTTTTCCTTCAAAGCCTGTCTTACATTTTCTTCACATTCTCTTTACTCCCACAGAGGAAGCCATTGAGGCGGAGGTACGAATCACCAGGGATGTACTCTGATGATGACGCCAACAGCGATGCCTCCAGTGCCTGCTCTGAGCGCTCATATGGCTCAAGGAACGGAGGCATCCCTCATTACCTGCGCCAGACGGAGGACGTGGCGGAGGTCCTGAACCACTGCGCCAGCTCCAATTGGTCAGAGAGGAAGGAGGGCTTGCTGGGCCTGCAGAATCTCCTCAAGAGCCAAAGAATACTGAGGTGGGATTGGGCTCATGGATCTTGACTAAGGTGTCAAACCATGCCAGACAGGAAATGTGAGCTTTGCCCAGCTCACTCAAGTGTGACCAAGAGCTTAAGACTGTGTGTCATCTGCTTCAAGGAAGATGTTAATGTGTCATAGGTCTGAATGGTACAATAAGAGAGAGTAGGCAGCAATCTCTAGATATCAACAGAATCAGGAGTTTTGCCTGTTACTCTTTACAGGAGTCAGGGCACAAGGATATGAAAGCACACAGGGTTGATTCTCTCAGTATTGTCAAGATACAAAAATTAGTTGCATTAGAAAAGAGTCCCTTGACTGTAAGTTGCAACTGAAGGGTCTTTAGTATCACTTCCTTCCACCCCACGTAACATGAGCAGGGCATAAACATACTGTGTGCACTTGAACAATTTTGGCATAAATGGCTGATTGCCCAGATAATTTACTCCCCACTGAAAAATACTTATAATGGGTTTGTCCGAATATCCAAACGTGAGTTGTCAAGTGCCTACTTGTCTGACATATTTTCGATAACTGCCACAAAGACAAAATGTCTGTAACCAATTGGCAACCTCTGTGGCTGAAAAATGAATCCAACACGGAAGGGTTATGCATAATTATGGGCGGGCCACTTTGAGTGACAGGCTGTCTGGTGATGACGTGTTCAGCTTCTCAGTCCGCCCCTTGCTCATCCAAAGCGTCACCCTCTCGCCCAAATATGGTCACTTCCGGTTCCAAAAACCAATGGCAACAGGTGAAATGCAGAACTTGAGGTCTCAAAGTGGGAGTGCACAAACCAATGGGTGATGTCACTGTTGCTACATCCACTATTTTTATATGTACTTCAACTGGCCAAGTGTAGCAAAGAAGACGTGATAAATTATGGGATGCATTTCGAAATGTGTGCATTAGCTCTACTATGTTGGCATTTTTCCCAATGTGAGACACTTTTGCCTATTACCTGGTCGAGCACTTAATTGCTGAATACCTCAAGTGTGGGACAGAGCTATTGTCTTTGAACAATGCTGAAGGGATAACATCAGAGTGACTGGATGTCTCTGTTGTTGTACAGTCTTGGTAAGAGCATGTATTAATTTAGTAAAAGGCTGAGATGGAACTATAGGGGCTAAACTGCTGAGGGTTTTATGATTATCTGAGCTTTGATGTTTGAAGGAGTAAACAATAGCACCTCCCGAGATCTGTAGACACATGAAAGAATGTAAATACCAAGCTCTGCTTTGGAAGAGCGATTCTTGGATTTTAGCAAAATGATGTCTGTCCTTTTAACGTGAGAAATACATAAAGCATTTTGGCGAATTCTTCCCTGCTTTACTTACATTCTGTTTTTGTTTACTGCAGCCGTGTGGAGCTGAAGAGACTCTGTGAGATCTTCACAAGGATGTTTGCAGATCCACATAGCAAGGTAAAGAGGATGACTTGTACTTACCGAAACACTCCAACTAATTATGACTTAGTGCAAAGGCATGGTATTCAAAATACAGCAACAAATGATGGAGCTGTGACTCCCTTGAAACTAATGGAATGTCTTTTGTTGCATGGTCTGCCTTGCTGTGGATTTAACAACAGAGAGTAAGTGTGTTTTTTATCCGTACTACTACAGACATTAACCCACATCCATCTGAACGTGAGCAGTTTGATCTTGTTTAAGTCAAATAAAGCTGTGTTGTGTGATAAATGTTTGAACCGTGCATATGTTCTCAGGTGTTCAGCATGTTCCTGGAAACTCTGGTGGACTTCATCACAGTACACAGGGAGGACTTGCAGGACTGGCTGTTTGTCCTGCTCACTCAGCTGCTGAAGAAGATGGGCGCAGACCTGCTGGGCTCCGTCCAGGCCAAAGTCCAGAAGGCCCTGGATATTACAAGGTCTGAAACGCAAGCCACGCATGGCTGTCCGGGTCACTGGGAGTGGCGAGCAAAGATTAGTGGCTGTTGTGCATTTCCAAGGGATAATGAGGAAATATCACACTATTTGAGATTAGTTTTCCATTAACCATGTAGTGGAATGTAAACATTAGTAATTGTCTGAATGATTCCTGTTTTGGAGCTTCTTTGTCACTCAGTGTGTGGTAAACTTTGAGAGTAAAACAACCAATAGCAACAGCCTCACAACCTCTAAGTAATATTTCTGTACAAATTAAAACTGACAGGTTGTCATGGAAATAGCAGAAAAAAGTAAATGTCTTATTTCTTTAACTTTGTCAGGGAGTCCTTCCCATTTGACCAACAGTTCAACATTCTGATGAGGTTCATCGTCGATCAGACTCAGACACCTAATCTGAAGGTAAAGTAAAATCAGGAGGACTGATTCTGTTCATAGGCGACATGAAATTGATTGGTTAGTATGACTGATGCAACTTTTTTAAGATGTGACAGAAATTTTTTTGCCTTTAGGTTAAGGTGGCCATTTTGAAGTACATCGAGTCCCTGGCTCGGCAGATGGACCCGACTGACTTTGTCAACTCCAGCGAGACGCGTCTGGCCGTATCTCGCATCATCACCTGGACCACTGAACCCAAAAGTTCTGATGTCAGGAAGGTAGGCCGTGATTTGTTTGTCCTGTATATCTCCATTTACAGCGGAAATTTCTTTGATAGCCAAAACCTTTTCCTCCGGAGTAATGTTTAGGTCTTTCTTATTTTAAGCAAGACAACTGTACATCACATTTTTAAATTTACCTCTTTTATCTCTATTATAGGAGTGTATAGAAGCTGAGAACATCCGTGCTTGCACTTATTTTTTAATGCCCTTATCTCAAGAAGTTAATTATTTCATTATCTTGAGATAACCAAGCTTGTTTTCTTGGAATAATTACTTAATTTATGTTGATTCTGGAGAAAACAAAAGGCTGATTTCAGCCTTCAAAATCACTGTCAAGGATTCTTTTTAAATGACAAGAACTGATCTGACTGCTATCTCTAGCAGAAAGACACATTGCAGTTTTTATCTGTGTTACGGTCTGATGCGTTCAAAAATGGGTACTCCTGCTCTGAGATTTTCATCTTAAACTAGTTGCTGCAGTTGCCCAGATGCCCTCCAAGAGGAAATTATTTTTTGTTGCGGTGATAACGGGTTGGTTATTTTGTTATCTTGAGAAAGCGAAATAATTTAACTCTAAGAACTCTAAGACTACTAAGAATTTTGAGAAGACGGCATTAAAGAAGTAATTGTAAGTGCAGCCTTTCTTGGATTCCCTAAGAGTGACTAAAGGATGTAAACTATTATTGTAGTTTTAGGTTCAACTTGTAGAAAAACCTGCAACTTGCAAAAATAATTATTTTAATGTTGCAACATTTTGGTAACTAGACCTTCCCCTTCTAGTTATGGAAACGTCACAGCATTAAAATCATTATTTTTGGAAGTCAAACAGTGTGCGCGAGTTTTTCAACAAATTGTGTTGTGCTTGTTGCTCTCCTACACATCTGTTTGGAAATAGATGTGCAAATTACTCCTTTGTTCTGAGTTTTAGGTTCAAACAAGGTGTAATTCGGCACACATAATCCTTATGATGCAATGTCACATTTCTGAACAGTAAAATTTAGGGCCCATAATGAATGAAAAGAGGATACATTAGATCTCACATCGAAGCCATCTTGCCCTCTATAATTTGTTTTGCTTGTTTTTTGTGTAGAATGGGCATAATCTACAAAGGAATTTATGCCATATTAAACAAGTATAATAACATTACAAGTGGGCAAACGAAGATTTGCAAAACTAATTGCTTTGAGACTTACATTTAGTGTGAAGTTACATAACATAGTGTGAATGAGATGTATATTGTTAATTGATTTTAGAATATTTATTTATGGAGCAGGTTCATTATTCCAAAAAGATAATTTTTTTGCTTGACAACTAATCAGAGGATACACTCGACAGGCAGTGACATCTTGTATACCTCCAGACTTTTTTCTCATTAGAATTCTTCAGCCTGTGGTGTTTGTTTAGCAACAGTTGTAAACTTTGATAATAGGCACTCTCCGTGTGGATGGCCTTGGGTCAACGGCCCATTATCTTCCTCTTGTCTGACGCGCGTCATATGTTCTCCCTCTGTGTCCCCTGCTGTTTGTTTTTCCACTGCTGTTCTTCCAAATGAAATCCTCACCCAGTGTCAAATCAGGGCCCCATGTCCAGGCATGCTGCAAATAAGATAAAGACAATATACTTATTGTATCTGCCGCTGAAAGCAACCCTTGCGTAAGTTTGTTTTCATGGGTACCAATATCCATTACCGGAGGTTTGATCCTCACCGTATTGGTTTGTGCTAGGTTGTTATGAAAGATTGGTTCAGTGTTGCATCCAAGTGTGATGGTGGAGGACCTGTGTCATGCTGTAATGCCCATTCTGCCTTGCCACTGTGCCCCAGACCCTTCAAAACTGGGTGAGCGAGGAGCTAGCTGGCAGGTCCAGTACTGCAGCCTTACTGTCTGCTGAGGGCAACCAGGAAGAAAGGTGTAAGCAGGTAGAGCCCACTCCAACAGTCAATCACAACACAACACGATAAGCACGCAATGCCCCGCCTGCCCGGTACCTAACCAACATCTTTCAAGACAATGAAAACTCAAGTGTGGCATCTGTCACTCACCTCTACCATTTACGCTCCAGCTGTTTTTTGCTGTAACAACCTAAAAAATCACTCTGTGCCTTGCAAATTGATCACTCACCAAACAGATTGAGCTTGTTGTGCAACCACAAAAGACTTTGGTTTAACCTTGGTATTTGTTGGAATGACAGGAGATGCTTGTTGCTTTGTATGAATGGGCTTGTGAGCCAACCTTATTGCTCAACATTGATAGGAATGCTGTTTTGTTACTACTGTGTGCCTAACACGTTTTGTTTGTTTGTGACTCACCTAACCTCTCATCCACCTGCATACCTGCATGTTGTTAACATTTTGTTTTTGTACAAAAAGAGAGATTCAAAATATGTATATAAACTAGTTGAGCTCAAGCATATAATTAAGTTATATCTGTAGGAATTGTGCCAAGTAAAAAAATTCAAAATGTATACATAATTACATCACATGATGTATGTATTCATTTGCTTTTGTCCAAAGCAACATTCAATAATTGTATTCAGCCAAAAACTGAACATTATAAACTTCATAAATGTAGAATTTATGGCAGAGCTGTTTAAATTAAATTACAATAGATTGTACAGGTGTGCCTAATAAACTGGCCACTGACTCTGTTCCATGTTTCATCCTACTTGAGTTTGCCAGCCTGATGCATATAAAGATTTATTTATTTTTTGTCAATCAATCTTTAAAACATTATTTAATTTTGTCATAAATCAGTCAAACCAGAACATACAGGCATCACATACATACTGCTGGAATCAGAAGGTCTACTGTAGCTTCAGGTTACACTTCCTTTTTTATCCTCTAGTGATGTTTTTTAAACCCTGCACCAACCCAGCCCATTATGAGAGCCAGTCCACCCTGCCTGTCCCGTAAACATATGCGTTAATCATTGACCCAAACCCGCCCGGCAAACCCGCAAAACCTGCAGAGCTGAAAGTTTGTGATAATGACCATCACATTTTCTGTTTTGAAAAGTACAGATATTAGCATCTTTTAAGTGGTAACCTCCTAAATCTAATCTCAAGTGCACAGCTGATACGTACGGTGGTTTGTTTATATGATGTTATAGAAGTGCATATTTAAAGGATTCATTGTGGACAGAGAGGCACTTGCTTGCTGTTAAGTCACAGTGTTAGGCCTACATATTTGCAGAGGGAAATATTTTTGCCAGACATTTAGATACCTCGGACTTCAACAGACTTTTCTGGTCAGAAACTGGATAAAGAAAATCCTGAGCACAGCAGCGCTGATGATAAAGCTGTTTGCTGTGTGAAAAAGAAAGGGAGCAAGATGGAGAGGGGAAGAGATTATTGCACAATGTTTCTGTAAATTACTATGATAACTTACTCAGAGCACTGCTTTGTCTCCTCCTTTATAACCTGCCCGCCTGAAACCCACAATATTTTCTAACAAGCTGACCCGAACTGCCTAACACATGGGTCAACCTGCGGGACCCGCTGTGGGTCGACCCTGCAACACTAGCATCTATGATGTGTTTCATGTTTATTACAACCTCAGATTCTGCCTCATAATCCTCAATTTAGACTTCTCTTTAGCATCAAAAGAAATTAAGTTGATTATTGTCTGTATATCCAGCAACCAGGAACTGATGGTAGCTACTGACGCAGATTCACCAAAATGTAAATAAATAAATGCCCTAGAACAACCTGGCTTATGTATGAGTTAGCAACATTATACTTACATCACCTGAAAGATAATGGGAACCCTATTGGCAAGCTCAAAATGCCAATGCCTATACTACAAACCCATGCCAAAAAGGAAACAAGAAGAAAGAAAACTTTTTTCAGGCATGTAGTAGTGACACCGCCATCAACTTATAGATATACAGTACATGTAAGAAAAACACAACAAGCAAAACCAGGTAAGAGTTAGGAAGTTGCCATAACCAGTATCACAAAAATGGATTGTTATCCCTCATATGTCTCCTGGAGTAAAACATTTCAGAGCAATTTTGGTTGCAGTTTCTGTCATAATACCATATGTACTGCCTTCTGATAACCCAAACCATCTTGGTTCCATGAAACTTATGTTCCCCAGCAACAATAGCAAACAACTATTTTCCTGAAGTTTGATCTGTACTCACTTGCATGTTGCAACATTGATATATCAACAGTATCCTTGACTAGTTGAAGGCTTTACTCTATTAGTTTTCCACTGAATGCTGCTTTGAACTCTCACCTTTTAACAGTTTCTTTCAACAGGCTAAGGCATCTGCAAGTCTACCGAAATGTGCACTGAGGGGCTAAAAAGGTGGTTTCCATGGTTTCAGAATTGTTTTGACCTTTATTAATTGTAATCTTTGAATCAAACTGGTCTTTTGGGGCTGGTTGCACCAACAACTCGGTGGTTTCAAATTCCGACCTCATACATGTAGTTATGCCAGTTGCACCATCTTAAGCCTACTTCTCGCTAAGACCAGGCATAATTCTTACATACAAACATAAAGCCTCGTCTTTTCCTCAACTCAGCTTGTTGAAGGAGCGATCAAACAAACGTTTACAATTGAAAATGTCCGGTGTCAAGAAAGATAGCTCTTTAGTTAGTCAGTAGCAGCACATTAAGCAGCAGAACAGAGTCCGCCAGGAATGAGTCCTAAAATTCAGAAATTACTTTTGCATTTTAGCACTTCCGGTTCCGTTGTCTCAAGTCAATGGGTTTTATGAATGGTTTTTTTGGTCAGATACCTGAAATAAGGTCTGTGATAACACAAGCTCAAGAGACTTTCACGATTTGTTCTATGATGCTCAATGATAATGTTGCTGCAAATGAAAGATGATTAGTAACACAGCGATAGAATTTATCAGTGTATCCTAGCAACACATATGCTGCTGGGCAATGGCCGTAGTTGCTGGGTATTCACATGAACGTGCATTGCTGTGACCAGACGTAGTTAACACTAGGCTTAAGTTTGGTTGGTGCAACCAACTTGAAGTTTGTTTCAAAGACTGGCCTTCTCAAAGACCAACTTAACAATCAGGACCAGTTGGTGCAACCGGCTCTTGTGGTTTTACAAATGCTGAACAAAAACGGCAAATATTACAGGTCATTAATCAGTCACAATCTGTATGATCTGGAGTTTTTTAATCATTTAAGATGTCAGTACAGCTCCTCTGACTCCCTGTGAAGAAATTCCTGTTGGAAATACATGGTCAGGGTACTTGTGGAACCAAGGAAACCATCTGACCCTCAAAGCTGTTGTGTCCTCCATGCTAACCTGTTGTACTACACTGCCTCCAGGCGGCCCAGGTGGTGCTGATCGCTTTGTTTGAGCTCAACACCCCAGAGTTCACCATGCTGCTGGGAGCTCTCCCCAAAACCTTCCAAGATGGAGCCACCAAACTGCTGCACAACCACCTGAAGAACTCCAGCAATACCAGCAGCAGTGTTGTAAGTCAAACGAAACACTGTAGTATTTGATGGCATTCAAACAAAAGCCCAACTCTGAAAAACTGTGCACTAATCCTCAAAAGGTGACCATACAGTAGTAAACACCATGCTAGGCGTTTGTAGACCAGCAGGACCATCAGACACCAGAGTTGCCACATTTAGACTTCATCATTGTTTACTATGTTCCAGGGGTCTCCGAGCAACACCATCGGCCGGACGCCAACACGCCACACCCCCAGCAGAACCAGCCCCCTCACCTCTCCAACAAACTGCTCCCACGGAGGACTGTCTCCAAGGTAAACTATTATTTATAACACACATCCTGTAGTAGTGCATGGCTGTGGTTTAACCATATGGATACTGCTGCTGTCCTGATCGTTCATTTGTAGTCAGACTAACACACAACCTAACAGGCGGGTTGGTAGAAGCATGGTACTGTGAGCTCCTCAGAGGGGTTAGAACTTTCTCTGTGTATGTTTGGGTAGAAATAAAAAGCCAAACCTTTTTTTCTTCTTGTACAGATCAAATACAACTTACAGAACACCTCTTACGCACTCAGCTGATTGATAAAATATTATTGCCTTTGAAACAGTTGGTGCTGTGATAAAGTGATAATCAGGCTCTTTGATCTTATCTTATACAGGGCCTCATAAGGGCTAACATAAAATAAAAAACAGAGGAGAACAAGCAGGATTTTTATTTTTGCCTTTCACTTTCTCCTGTGCTAGTGGAAAGATCTTTTCAGATGGTAAGCAATATTCCACCTCCTTACCCGCTTGAATCTGCTGGCTCGCATGTGAATAGACAGGCAGACAAGCACTCTGTGACTCAACACCAGGAGTGCTATGCTATCAAATATCCTGTATCACAGATCAATTTGTTGACACACAGTGGTATCCCAGTCTCTGATGCCAGCCACAGGCTGTTATTGTTTATAGCTAAAGTTAATTAAATTAGCATGTTTGTAACATAGCCCAGCTTAAGTTAAAACGATAGATAATGTTTCCTGATGCATCCAGTCTTTTTCTGCTGCTCTGCCATGCAAAAGCCCCCCTTTACTGTAACAATAACTGTTTAGAAAACAGTTGCATATTTCAGGGATTTCACAAAGGGTGAGGATCAGTCTCTCGTCCATCGATTTGCACTGTGTGATGGGTAGTAAACAGTTCCAGACAGTTCCATTCTGGCTGTGAGTGAGCATGTGCGTGAAAAGAGCATATGACTTTTCAAGGGATTGCCCCAAGGAGGTTAAAAAAAGGAGAAGTGCACAGTGCACATTCACAGTTAAATCTGATCTGCACCTGCTAAACTGCTCAATAGCTGGGGAACTATCGTAGAACATGGGGAGGATTGGTTCATTTCACTGAGGCGTCCACAGTCAGCCTTGAGTTGGAATATATTTTAGCCTATACTACAAAAAATACATGGTTGAGAATCATAACACTGCAATTATTAAAAAAGGCCCTTACTTAAGGACCATAAACAAATGCTTTTTATTTGAAAATGTTGTATTGTATATCAGCATTGTGTAATACCCCATATCTCCCATGGGGTCATAGGGCATGTCCCAGACTAATTTAAATAGCCCTGGTTTGTGCCTACTTGTTGCCTGTGCCTTCATATCTGCCCACTCGCCTTTCATTAAAAAGGATTTACTTGATGCGTGAATTGCTTTACATCTGAAAAGACCTAATACAGCCAGTGACTGATTATAGCAGTTCCCTAAAATACAGTTCAATTCTATCTGACTGAGCAGCTCATTTACCTGAGGCACTGTACAGTCTTTTTACCTGCAAGCAGAAACCCATAAACACTTGTAAAGGAGCTACTGATTTTCCTGGTAATAAGTTTATTTGAACCTGAAGTGCACTTCATGTTGAGATCATTCTGGCTAAAACGTGAAAAATGGCCCCTCACTCGTGACGGGGAAAAATTTTAGTTTAAGCTGACTTTGTGGGATTCTGCTACTTTTCAAATCTCTTCTTTAAATTAACACTTTCATTTAACCTTAAAGCTCAGACTAGTTTCTTTTTGTCTTTTCTCTTTCTCCTCCTGTACACTCGTGTTTCTCTTTCTCCTCCTTTCTCTTGTCTCGTCTTGTGGTCTCCACTTGTTCTTGATTTCCATCCGCCTTGCCCCACTCTCTCACTCCTGTCTGTCCATCCTTCCCTCCCGGCTGCACTGTGGCAACAGTCGGTTATGGGGTTGGGGTGTCGACGGACTGTCAAAGCATCCCCCTGCCCCTCCTCCTCCTCCTCCACCCCACTCCACCCCTGCTGCCCCCTCCCTAAGGGTCCTGCGCAGAGCATACTCACCCAGGTAATGAGGTGGGCTAAGACACAAAGGCAATTATTCCATCAAAGAAGCCAGACCCTGATCCTTTTCCTATTTCAAAATTTCTTTTTCAAAAAACATTTGAGCATATCTTTCAATGTCTGACTGAATGCATATTACTCCATCATCACAAATCAAATAATAAGATCATTTTACATTGCTTCTAAGGTTTGGTTAATGCTGTGTTGTTTGTCCAATTAAAAATATACAATAACACAAAGGTTTACTTACACCTGACCTTTCCCTTTCTAATAACTAACCAGTTTGAATGTCAAAAGCAACATTTAAGCACTTTGCATGTTGGCAACACAAAAGCCTGCCTCTTCAGACATGCATTTCATATAAATCTTCTGTGTATTTCTCTCTGTGTTTGTGTGTGTGGTAGCATGATGGAATATGACACAGAAAACATGAACTCTGACGAGATCTACAGCTCGCTGCGAGGCGTCACCGAGGCCATCCAGAGCTTCAGCTACCGGAGCCAGGAGGACTTGAATGAGCCAATCAGACAGGAGGGCAAGAGGGATGATGCTGTAAGTTTAGTATTTTTCAATCTGGACTCTATTCTATTTCCCTTGTTTTTGTGTCTAAATGAATAATGGGAACAACAATTTTTGAAACTGCTCCAGTATTGAGTGAGAGTGCTGCAGCCGGCAGCAATGTGAGAGAATGTGAGTGAGTAATTATAAGCTCTAAGGACAGTATGGTAAGGATCCCTACAGAGATAGACCTTTTGGATATAGTGCTAGATCCTTTTTTGTTTCACCAGAAACAGCCCTGAAATTACCATCGCCAAATTCACCAGACTCCATTTAAATAAACTAATTTTGGCATGTATAGAGTCAGCATATTTCATATCTAAGTGGGTGAATTAAGGGTTTATCTCAACCAGAGTTAGTGAAGCAGTGGAAAGACAAACCAAGACAGCTTCCGTGACTTTTATTGTAATTCTGTTGACTTTGAATGAAGAATGTTTTACGACGGACGACAAAATTACTTTCAATTTAAATGGAGTCATGTGGGATTGGTGACAGCGATTTCAGGGCTGTCTCTGGTATTAATCAGCAATATTGCAAACACAAATTAAACTTTTGGGAGCCTACCAGAAAAATAAAATCAATTGCGTTTTCAGTCCACTAGACACATGTTGCTGCAATAAAAATGATTTAAGTGACATGAACACACTGAAAACGGTATCTTATTAGATAAAAAAGATGTCAACAACATTTTTCTTCATTTTGCAGTTGAAAAAAGTAACAAATCGCAATATAGTGCAATATATGTTATCGCAATACTGTCAAACACTTGAAATACCAACCTGAGCCTCTCAGTGGCAAAAAAAAGGAGATTTGAGAGTACATACATTGACTGCACAAGTATCCCTGCATTGTTACATTGCGGCCTTTATAGTCACTGCGGCAGTCTTGGTCAATACTAGACCATAATCAAAATTATGTTTCACAATAGTGACTTAGACACAAAAACATGGAGAAATATGAATCCAACATTGAAGCGTTGTAGCTGCATGGGATTAAAAAAAGGAACTCATCATATTGAATTGGCCTGTTCTGTTTTATTTTATTCTTTTTTGGCTAACTGAGACTGCTGAAGCATCACAATCTGCTGCAGTTACTAAATCCATATTATAAGTTTGGAGTCAGGCCAGCAGGATACAGGTATGAGAGAGGTAGGGGAATCACTGGGAGGTCGACAGCTGGTACTGGGCTTCTGTATGCAGTTTCTCAAGCAGCAGTCTCAGCACAGAGCTCCTGTTGTGTAATAGCAAATCAAGTGATTTGAGCACTGCAGGTGCTCCCAAGGACAAACAATTTTGATAATCCTGTCTCATATTCTTCCTCCTCCCACCTACCCTTCTGTCTTACAGGCAGGAAGAGAGGGTGTAGCGTCCTCTCCCGGCTCTGATGCCCGCCTTGGCTTAGACGTGGTGGAAGGGGGTCGCACTGCCTTAGACAACAAGACCTCGCTACTGAACACGCCATCACCTCGATCGTTCTCTGGGCCACGGAGCCGTGAGTTCGCTCCCTATGGTTACGGAGAAACCATCTGCACATATGACAAGAGCGCCCTGAAGGAGGCCGTCTTTGATGATGACGTGGAGCAGTTCCGCGACTGTGAGTTCATGTGATAATTAAGCAGTTAAGGGTGGTGTTTGAAGAGGTCATTATTGCAGCAGACTTCTTGCATGAAACAAAATTTGTACGTTTGATATTGAAGCACGCAACACTAAGATATGTTGTTACATTCTCTATTGAAAAGTCTTCCCGTGTATCACTAAAGTGTTTCGATAAAAATTATTCAGTGTATGCTTACAACAAGGGTCACAGTGTTTCATACTGTTGAGATTTCTGAGACATAAGTGAAGAAAAAAAAGACATTTTATTAACGTGTGTGTTTCATTTTGATGAGAATGTAATTTTTATGCCTCCACACTGGCGATAGCTGTGGCTGAAGGCATTATGTTTTTCGGGATGTCTGTCATTGCTTACGTATGTACATCCCATTCTTGTGAACACGATATCTTAAGAATGCCTTGTGGGAGTTTTTTTCAAATTGGGCACAAATGTCCACTCAGACTCAACAATGAATTGAAAGGTCACGCTGACCTTGCATCCGCCTTATTGTCATTAATGTGATATCTCAAGAACACCTTGAGGGAGTTTCCTCAAATTTGGCACAAACGTCCACTTGGACTCAAGAATGAATTGATTAGAACTTGGTGGTCAAAGGTCACTGTGACCTCTCAAAATATGTTTTCAGCCATAACTCAATGAATTCATATGTAATTATAACAAAATTTAACACAAATGTCTAATAGGATAAAATGGTGAAGTGATGATATTTTATTTCCAAAAGTCAAAGTTGAACTTAACTGTGACATCATAATGTTGTCCTCACCATCATATCTCAGGAACAGAAGGGGAGACATTTGGTCGTATAGATCTTCGGCTGGGGGGCGGGAGCAGGAGGGGGCATCCATGTATTTGCAGGCATGGATGTAACTGTAACAACTTCACTAGTCTGTGGAGGCAAACAACCACAAGGCATTAATTCTAGTTTGTTGCTGTTTTATGCCTTTCATAGTTCTGATAATAACGGTGAAAAAATGTCATTGGAATGAGGAGTTGTGCTCACCTCATGCATCTGTGGAAAAGATTTACCAGCCAGCAGTCTTGACTTCTCCTTTATCATCCTGCCAACCTATCTGTTGTCCACCATTCCCCCATTGTGTAATATGTCGTGTTGTTTTGACAACAAAAAGGAAGACACTCTGTAAGGTTACTGCTTTTAGGCTGTGTTGAGACCTGAAACAAGAAATTACCTCAACCACCAAAAGTGTAATAATTATTCTGCTTATTCTGCTTATTAATTATTCAGCTCTGACTTGTCGCTTGGTTAGTTGGCTAATTGTTGAGACAAAGAGGTGAAACTTGTTTACCACAAACAAAGGTGTGTGTGAGTTTGGCTTGTGTTGCAACAGAGGAGCTGCAGTTTGTGTGTCAGTTGATGTTGTCGTCATCACATCCTTTGCTCTGCACCCTCCTGCCCCCCCCCCACCCCCCCATGTCCCTCACCTCCCCATCTCCACCTTCATCCCTCCCCTACCCCCACCTCCCCTCATCCTCTCCAGGCCGACGTCAGGAAAGTGGTGAAAACAAGATGACGCTCCCCAAGGTCTTTGCTCCTGGTAAACATGACTGTCTGAGAAACTGACTGACGGACTTTATGACTATGTGACTGATTTACTGACTGTACATTCACTCCACTCACCCTTTGTGTGTGTTTGCAATCAGCTCTTTCAATTCCCATTACCATCTTATCATGGTCTTCTAACTCCACCTAATACCTGTGTGTTCACTAACTTGTCCTGCTTTTGATGCACAACTAGCTGGCAGCTTGATGCTTGTACTGATGGTTATGGAATTCTCTGGAATGAACTGAATGTTTGGATGGTTGTGTTAGTATGTCTAATACTGCTTCAGCAGTCCAGCATATGGCATACAGTATTGAAATACATTATATTCTCATCAATTGTATATCTCTTGCAGACACGAGCAGCCGCAGAACACAATACATGACATTAGCTTAATAACACTAACACCTATAAACGAGTGTGGAGCTCTGATTGGGCCAAAAAATCAAGCCTGACCACATAACCTGCATAAATTCTGTCCAAGCTAGTCCCGACCCCAACCCACGGCAGCAGTTTTTGGCCCAAGCCTGATTAAATACCTACATTTTTATGAGAAAGAATATATTACGTTTGTTTATTATATGTTAGTAATATTAAAACATTTATCACAAGGGCTAAGGGCTGACGGTTTTCCTCACACCACTTCATCTTGTGCTCTTTCTTCTGTTACTTCAGTAGTCTGTTGTCTCGTGCAGTTAAGAGGTTTGGTAGAGCAGGCTGCGCCCCTCGTGCAACCGGTGTGCACAACAGTCCATGGCAGTGCGCACACAGATAATGATCCCCTCTCTCCACTGCATGTTACGCACATCTCTCCCACTACCAACCAAATCTCCTTGTAGCCCCTCCCTCTCGTTTCTGTCCTTCTCCTCATATGTTCTATGTCTCACCCCCAGTTCTCCACTATATTTCTCCTTCACTTTTCCTCTCTCAGTTGAAGTCCCTCCCTTTTTCTCCCCCTTTCCCTCTTGATTCAGTCCATTAAAACTCCTGCTGCGTGAGAACTGCCAGTTTCATTTAAAAAACAAAACAAAAAAACAATGCACCGCTAAATTAGCATGACCCCGACCCGATTCAAGCTGGGGAGAATGATGTGAAATTACAGCTCAGCCCAACCCGTACCAGGCAACTGATGTCAGGCCCAATCAGCCTCAAGCAGAAAATCAGAGCTCTAGACCAGTGATAAAGGGCACAAGTACATTTTGTCAAACCTGACATGAACAATTATTGTCAAAATAAAATGAATAAAATACACATTTGAATTAGGTTGTATACCCATCCTTCCACTGTCTACCCTTAAATGTCAAAAACTATTTTTGAATGGTCACGTTTTGAAAAATTTCTAAAATGTAACATTTAGGCCCATAGTGCCAGGATTTCAGGCTCTCATTGCTTATCTAGCTTTTAACTTGGCCGTGCATTCAGAGATGTATTTCCCACACCAAATGCATCACAGTATCACAGCGACATCTTGACATGTCATCTCACAGTTTATATTATATTCAGTCTTAAATGAGAAAGTTTTTCCTAACAAGTGAAAACATGTATTTTAAAAACAGGATTTGTTTTACAGTAAAATTTAAAATGAGAGAATGCTAATTATCTCGCAGCAGTGGTTACATTTTTTTCTTTTTTGTCTTGATAAATTAAAGGCTGATGCTGGTTTAAATGACACTAAAGTTTGGATTTTTTTTTTTTTTTGTTTGTTTGTTTGTTTTTTTTAGCTGTGGCAAGATTATAGTAGCTGTATCTCTGATGTGCAATTTAATGTGTAACTAATTACTGTCATCCTCTCTTTGGCAAGCAGTCGGTCAGGACCACTCAGACATGGTAGCTGACCTGCTCAAGGAATTGTCCAATCACAATGAGCGATCTGAGGAGCGTAAAGGCGCCCTGGTAGATCTGCTGAAGATCACACGAGAAGACAGCCTGGCTGTATGGGATGAGCACTTTAAAACCATCCTCCTCCTTCTGCTGGAGACACTGGGTGATAAAGATGTATGTTATTTGATGGTTCTGCATGTAACTACAGAGGTTTATTAATTGTCATACAATAAAACTATGTGAGTATTTGTGTGCGGAGGATGTTGAGTGCCACTGAGTTTACCAGGCATTAGTTTGAATCACACTTGAAATTCAGTGAATGTACACACCTGTGGATCTCCGTTAAGGATATTTTTTTTTACTTTTAAGTAATTGCCCATGCCATGTTTCCCCCAGCACACCATCCGAGCCCTGGCCCTGCGTGTGCTCAAAGAAATTCTGAGGAACCAGCCGGCCCGCTTCAAAAACTACGCTGAGCTAACCATCATGAAGACCCTGGAGGCTCACAAAGACTCCCACAAGGAGGTACACAGCTCCCACATAACCACTGGACAACAGATAAACCTGCATTAACAACCTGAAATTGCAAAACTGACATATTATTTCTATTTAATGTTTAAGTAAACTGTTGCCTGTTTTATACATCCAGCAGATACAGAGCAACATCAGTATTTGTTTCAACCTGATGAATCCAAGTCCGATATTCAATCTCCTTTTAGTTCTGTTTTGGTCTTCACCATACCCTGAGGGATGTACTGTATCTGACCCCTTTCAGATTATGCATTTGATCCATTGTTAATATTAAAAAAAATATATATCAGTCCCTCCAGGACTTCACAGGCTGTTTTTGGGATCCTCATTGCAGCCTACAGTAAAATGTCTAATTTCAGGACCCTTTTCACTGCCTCTTTTTTCTAAGAAATTGTGATGTATGTTGTTATTTTTATAGCTGTTTTTTGCAATGAAGTTGTGGGGGCAAGTGAAAATTGCAAAAAAATAGTTGTGATGCTGTCTCAGGTTCTGAACGTATTATTATGAATATTTCCCGCAGAATAAGAATCTATTTGTGATGGTGTGGGGGTGGTTGGCAGCAACCTGGCTGCTGAAGTACTGTCCCCGTGAGAGGCTCTGCTCCTTGTCTCGACGCCTGGTTAGCACAGCACAACCGGATCTCATCATTACTCGTCGTATTTTGTCGCTAAGGCACAAGCCCCACAGCAGCAGTTAACATCCAACACCGAGCCATTAATTTTGCACCAAAATGGCTTGACTCTGCTGTTAGTCCTGTTAGTAACTGTTGGGTAATGTTAGCTTTGTGATACTAACAGTTAGCCCTGTCACTGTGTGTGTGTGTGTGTGTGTGTGTGTGTGTGTGTGTGTGAGATCTGTCCCACACGCAGAGCTCTGGTCCAACTGCAGTAGTCTTATAATAAACAGAGAGAGGGGGGCTGAGATATGACCTGTTTTAAATGGTCCAATATGTGGGAAAGTTTTGATGATTGGACAAAATTGCAAGGTTGCACAGAATTCACAAGGATTGACTGAATTTGTTGTGACTGCAATATCATAAAATCTTGGAGGGACTGATATGTATTTGTGCAGCTTTAAAAAGAGGGGATCACAGCCTCTCTAACACAGTTCAACTCGGTCACGTTCATTTTGATGATACTGAGATGTAAAATGACATTTTCCTCTACAACATCATAAACCACCAATAATTGTGTTTCCATGCTAAGGATGGCAGAACTTTCAAACTGTGTAAAAAAAACCAACATATTTTAAAAAATTTCATAGTGTGTGTAGCACTATGCACATGCCAACATATGGCAAGCCTAGAGTTCAAACAGTGAATAATATTTGGTTTTAAAGGGCTCTCTAGTGCCCTCGTCATTCAGACAATCTGGTTATTGATAGAAAAAAGTAACCTCTGCATTTGACCTTTAACTAAATTAAACAAAGGCGAAAGCTTGGGGGTGACGCAGGATAACTCAGGTAACCCTCCTGCCAGGCAGTCAGCGGGCACAGAGAGTGGGCAAACAAAGATCAAACGTTGATAACACATTGAACATAGAATACACAAAATAAACACTGAGACTACCCTTTGATGAAACCTCCTGATCAATAATCATCCACAGTGTGGGGTGTAAAATCAGGGCTCAAAAAATTAAACTAAACCATCAAAAATACACCATACAGAATAAAAAATTATACTTCCAAGGTTTCTCAATACTTTTGATAAAAAAGTGAGTTATTACAGAATATTCTGTTCTGCAGATGTGGGATTTTCCAGCAGAGAAAGTCTTTAGATATTTAGGTCTGTTAAAGTTTTATACAAGGAAATATCTGTGATGGAAGATGCCTACTTGCTAATATCCCTGTAAGGCACCAGTTTCTACCCAGTGGTACAATACAAAAACTGATACATAATGTCATTCTCTTTTTTCAACATTACTGATATTAATGTGTAGTATTTGTTCATGTGCTTTTATTAGGTGGTGCGTGCAGCTGAGGAGGCAGCATCCACCCTGGCCGGCTCCATTCACCCAGAGCAGTGCATTAAGGTGCTGTGCCCTATTGTGCAGACAGCCGACTACCCAATCAACCTAGCTGCCATCAAGATGCAAACCAAAGTCATTGAACGCATCGCCAAGGACTCCTTACTGCAGCTGCTGCCTGACATCATCCCTGGACTCCTACAGGTCTGCATCTGAACTAACTGCTTATTACATTTAAGACACAGCAAGAGTTTTTAAGGGAAGATAAATGTGGATTGTTATATTTACACATTTTTATGGATTACATTAGTTTTGATTTAATTCTGTTAATTGTTCAAAAAATGTCTCTATCTTTCTTTCAGTCACACTCATTCAATAAAAAGGAATGAAATAAACCTAATTCCTAATTTGTATGGTCAAATAACATGAAAGCCAGAGCGTTTTGGGGACAGCAGAGCAGAAACATCCTTGTCAACTTCAAAAAGGCATATTTGGTCAATGTTCATATTTGGACACTGGGCACTATTTGCCTTATTTGTCCCTGGAAATGTTTGCGTGTACTCTGCACTCTGTGCGACTCCTCCCATGTTCCTGCTGACCCCTCATTTGTGTGTATGTGTGTGCACGTGTGGTGCCTGATGCCGCTTTGTTTCTCCACAGGGCTATGACAACACAGAGAGCAGCGTTCGCAAGGCCAGCGTGTTCTGTCTGGTGGCTATCTATTCTGTGATTGGCGAAGATCTCAAACCCCACCTGGCACAGCTCACGGGCAGCAAGGTAATGACCGTGCCAATGCTTTGCGTGAACACATTTAAACACACACACACACACACACACACACACACACACTTTTTACCAACATCTCTTGAACAGATGCAGAGCCTTATCGTCTTCCCATGTTGTTATTTCTCAGCAGGTTTTAACCAGTTGTCCAATTATAAAGTACGGGGTCATATTTGTCCTACTTTCACTACAGCATGTGTCCTTGGGTTATGTAAGGGTTGAGATCTGAGGGTCAGGTTCACCTGAAGGGAAGGACCCTCCCCTTTTGTCATTTGGACAGCTGGTTATCGACTGAGCGTACTTGAGGAAGCACCGTCACATTCTCAAGTTGTACCTTGAGATGTAGTTTTAGTGCAAACATTAACTTTGACTGGATCCAAATAATCCCAGAAGAAAGCAATTTTTTCCTCTCATTACCACTTATGTTGTGAGGTCCAGCCAGGATGTAAAGGAAAATTTATACTGATTTAGAAATGTACATATTCAAAACTATCCAACTGAACATATCGTCATTCTGTATAAAAGGTACAATGGCAGAATATGAGGGGCAGAGTTGTCTCACCTTTAAGCTGGTATCAGGGGGAAGTAATAGTGCTGAAACAATGTGTGTATAAAAGGGACAGCCAGCAGGATTGGACCATGGGTGGCACGAGTGTGACATTTTGACGACATATTATGCACATATGCACATATTATGTAAAAAAGGCTTAACAATTGATCCTGAGAAAACATCAGCTCTTATGATGGCTGCCATGCTTTACTGGACATTATTCAGTGTCATATCTCAGGAACACAAGGTGAGACATTTGGTCAAATAGGACATTGTTTGGACTACTGGGGATAAGAAATAGTGGGCCATCAAAATAATGTCATGACACCACATCCGTTTGGGTACCACTGACCTACATTTTTACCTTTTGGCATTGAGATTCAAACAACATGATCAAGAAGTCTTGCTTCTTCAAAATGAAGGGCTCCTAAAGAAGTATATTAATACCTGAAAGGGGTGTCAGATGTGATACTCCTTCAAATATGTAATGACACTGTGCTTAGGAAAAGATCAACATATCTTGTCTTTGTTGTTTGTAGATGAAGTTACTGAACCTGTACATCAAGCGAGCCCAGACGACCAACAGCAATAGCAGCAGCTCCTCGGACGTCTCCTCTCACAGTTAATGGAGGGAGGTTTCATTTGAAAACCCTGTGGATGGGCGCTGTTGGAGGATTTCCAGGGCAAAGCTGTGCTTCTTTCAGACTTCTCTGTCTCTGAATTTCCCCTCCTCCTCCACATCACAACTTGAGCACCACCATGCTTTTCTCCAGTTTAAAGGAGATCCTGTCAGCAACCGTTGTCATTTAGTTCCTCCTCCCCACCTTTTGCTCTAGAAACTTATGAATGTAACTGTGGATTGGGTTTAAACCAGTGGGGAGGAAATCAACACATTCTGAGTTTTTGGATCTAGGAAATGCACTTTCTGTTCCTCCTCGGTTCCCACGACCTCCACACCGCCTTCTATCTTTGCGTGTTTCTCCTTAAGCCCTCAGATTTGGAAGATGAAAGAGTTCGTACATGATGCCGTGAAGTATTCATGATCAGAGGGAGAAATTTCTGTCAGATTGAGTACAGTTTGGGATGATATGTCATTTGGCTGGCCCAGTGATGGTAACAAGCTCATAGGTTTTGGGTTGAATTGTGGTTTGGGAAGCATAAAACCAAATATTGTTAGAAAAAAAGAAAGAAATGTGTAAAGGAACAAAGTGACAGAAAAAAAGGAAGTACTGTATGAGAATTTTTAGTTCATGTTTTAAGTTTATTGATCATGATTGTGGCTCGCAGAAGTCCATGCATCGATTGTTGTCTTTTTTATGCTAATCTGTAACTAAAAGTGGCTTAATCAATTGAATCCCCCCTTACAAAAACAATTGTTACATTCAAGAAGGTAACAAGGTGCCAAAAGATACATTTTCAGCGACAGAATTGACAATCCTTAAAATTTTGTGCAGATTTTTATTTTCAGGTACGGAAGAAGAAATCGGTGTTAGACTGCACAATAAAGTTGAATTTGTCTTGAAATTAACAATCAGCAGACAGTAGAAAAATATGAAAAGTTCAATTGTGTTGCCTGCATTTTCTCACTCAACTTTCTGCATTAAGTTCAAAAACTGTTTTTGTTTGTTTGTTTGTTTGTTTTTAAACATACTTTCAGAAATGGTTGCCTGTTGGTTGCCAGTCTGTGGCATCTTACCTGTAAAACTCTGAGGTTGCTGCTCAGTAGAGTGACTCTGTTTGAAGAGGAAGTCCTTTGTAAATATTCCACATTTTCCCTGCTTGGAGTCAGGAGAGATCCAAGCAATCCGAGACAGTCAGAAAGACATTACCAGGCCTTATTCACTTCGCACACTAATGTTAGTCGACTGGGACTGCAGAGAGTGGATGGGATGTACAGCACTGTAACTCTTGGCTCTGATTTAAAAAAAAAAAAAAAAAAGGTGAATCAGCAGGAAAACAGACCCGCGGCAGTGTTCTTGACCTGTGACGATGCAAATACAGTATTTGTTGTTTCCTCTGATCTCCTTCAGTTCCCCTTCACGTAACCACAGCTTCTGCAATAAATCCACAATTCAAGGTATTTTGTACATACACTTTTTGACCACTGCTTCGCAAGGTTTTACATTATGTCAATGGAGAAAAAAAAAAGAAAAGTGAACAGGTTGACTATCACTTTTTTGCACGTTAGCAAAAATAGCTTGCATGTATCCTGCAGCACATGCCAACTTGCTGTTTTGAAGGGCCCAGGTTTTTGGCTGTAAAAGTGCACTTGTGACATCACCTGATTACTCATCTCTGATTTAATGTTTCAGCAGAAGAGGTAGTCACATTAGTCACACACATATGTAAAAGGTACAAAATGGAGATTTAAGCTGGTAGAAGTATCCAGGCGAGGTACTGAGAAATCATACCTCTGGACACGGCTGTGATTTATTGTTTTTTTTGTTGTTTTTTTTTGCTTTTTTTTCCCAAGTGTTAGATTTGAGGTATCAAGAAGCTTTAAAATTTTGGATCTTGCACTGAGATCTCTCTTTAAGTTGTTGGGTTCCCGAAGTTTAGCCCTAAGAGATATGACTCCAGCCATGGATCCCTGATTTTGAAAAGTCTCCCCTATTTGATCAGATTTTTTTATTGCTGGATATGATTTAGATGATCGTGGTACAATTAATCTACTGTAGGAAGAGATCAGTCTCATGCCTTTTAAATTCTGTTATCTCATTTGCTAACTCCTGGCAAATGACTCATAATAATAAGGAAATGGAAGTATTCCTGATATCACCTGGGGACAGCCTGAGTCCTTGGATGGACAATTTTGGACTCTTGGACTTTTCGTTGAGTAGTGTTTTCATTCAGGGAATCCACTGAGAGTTGTGGTTATTTAAGTAAATGAATGTACAGACTTAATATGTGTTATAATTAGCTTTTTAAGTATTGGTACTGAAACTGACTTCAGCAACATGCAGCCCTGTACACTCTGTAATATGCCTGTCTGCACTCTACCTGACTTTTCTTTCTCCTGAATTCCCTCAACAGTTTCAGACCGTTGATCAGCCTCGTGTTGTTTTTCAGCCGATTAAAACAAATCTACACATGGTGTGAGGGGGAAAGTTCACCAATCAGCAAACTACCGGCCACTAGCATATGTTATCACATTACTGGTCCTAGAAACAGACTACATGGTATTCCTTGCAAACTGTTCACTATGCATGTTCTACAGTACACTGTCTTTCTTTTGTCTCAATCGGTCATGTATACCTGTATTTATATATTTTATTTGATCTTATTTTATTTTGTTCTCTCATGATTAAACTGTACAGAAGGGTTTCTTTTGTTAACTTCCACCTGTGATAGGTTTGCAACAATGTAAAGAAATTGTTTGCTCTAGAAATAAACAGACTAAGAACTGATCTGAACTGAAAATCTTTTGGTTATTCGTCACGACATGTAGTTTAATCTTATCTAAATTTAAATGCTATTCCCATGATCGCATGTTGGTCTGTGGGTTAATTTTCCTGCTCCTCAGTTGCACTGCGCATGACCTGGGTCAGTTTGAAGCTAGCTAGTGGCGTCGCTCACTGCTGGTAGTGCCATCGCAACCCAGTGGCATTGCTGTAGAAACATTGTGCCCATCCTTCTGTTTTCTTTCTGGTCCTGCCCTGTTAAGTAAAACACCTTTTAATATTTCAAACTGTAGTAGCCTATGTATTACTGTTTAGGGTGACCATATTTTGATTTCCAAAAAAGAGGACACTCGGCCTGGCCACGAGATAGCCTACTTAAATGATACTCGCAGTTTATTCAAAGATGCCTTATAATTTTAATATATTTAAAATTTATATGTATGGATAGAAAATTCAGTTATATTACAAAATAATATCTCTCAAAGACAGAAATTCAGATAGGCCCCAATAGATAGGGGACACATACACACATTAGAGTGTGGCTACCTGATCCGAGCCCGACGGGTCTCGACGGTGGGCCTACCCAACGGGTAGGGCCGGGTTCGGTCAAAAATGTTTAAATTGTATTTGGGCTCTGGTTGGATTCGGTCAGCTTTCAGTGAAAATGTAGTGTAAAAATAAATAAAATCCTATTGTCTGTCCTGTTTATTGCTTGGGGACTGTTATTTACGTGACAACACCTGAACAGAACACAGACACACATTGGCTGTTTGTTTCTACCTCTCCCCTCGCTGGAAGCCTCGGACCTTCCGCCGCCCGACTCCGCCTTGATTAAACACTGAAAATAAAATAAAAGAGGGAGACAGGTTTTTCCTATTATATCTTATTTTGTTTTATTTCTCCCTCTTCTCTCACTGGAAGCCTCGGACCTCCCGCCGCCCGCTCCCGTCTCAAACACGGAGGTCTCCCTCTCTGCGGAGCACCCACGGCGCACGGCCAGCCTGTTAAATAGCCTGTAACCATAACAACTGTGTGACACAAACTCAGTGCTTTAGTAGGCCTAATTAAATAATGTCGGGCTCGGTTCGGCTTCGGACATAACAAAACAGAATGACTGTCAGGTTCAGGGGCAATGCCATCCCGCTATCATGGGTTGGAACCACAGACTGTAAAAATAATGGTTGTTGCTTCCATGTCATCACCCACTGCTTTGTGAACTCCCGTTTTGAAGCCTCAAGTTCAGTATTTCAGCTGTCACCATCTTGTTTTTTGGAGCCAGAAGTGACCATATTTGGCCAAGGGGCTGGAGCTGTGGAGGAGCGAGGGATGGATCTGACTGAGAAGCTGAGGACACTGTCAGCAGAAAGCCTGTCACTCAAAGCAGCCTGCCCTTAATTATGCATAACTTTAAGCCTTAGTAAAACGGGTGAGTTATATGAAATTCACCCCCTGTGCAGTTGTCATGGAAGTTCAGATTAGCTATAGAGACCAAAACTGTTTTTGGCACCAGGCTATAAACATATTTGTGCTGTAAAATTGGGCACTTTAACATGAGGGTCTATGGGGATTGACTAGCTTCCAGAGGCCTGTCTTAAGTGGCTGTTCAAAGAAATGTAGTTTTTGGCTTCATTGTTCAGCCCTAGAGGTTGCCGCTTGGTTGAGCCAGCTTTACCAGCGGTAATTCCTGCATAAATGGCACAGCTAGCTAGCTAGCTCCCGTCTCACCAGGGTGGTGCGCAGTGTAGAGCAGCCAAAGCTACCTAACCAGTGGAGACCGGAGGGTTGGACGTGGACACCATGTTTCCACATTGCAGCTGGCTGCCTATCTGTCAGCAAAGCCAACGAATGCTGCACTACAAGGAAAGCACCTCTTGTAAACACTCATTTTTTCTTAAAAATTACTTACCAGTTAATGGGTTTCAGACTATTGAAAGCAAAATAACTGAAAGTGGCATCCCTATCAATGGCAATCCAGAAACTCTGAGTGCTAAAACTCAAATTTGAAATGTCATAGGGTATAAAGTCTGGAGCTGCTTCACAGACAATGTTAAAAGATTCTTCTAGGTGACACTGAGATCACTACAATAGAATTAAACTATTGGGTATAAACAAGAAAGCAAACATTCTGCAAGTCCATAAAATCAAACTCCCATTCATTGTCTATAGAGCAGCTCCAGACTTTATACCCTATGACATCACAAGTTTGAGGCTTACTTAGCTAATATTCACAAATATTGATTGAACTATCCTTGACCATGAAAATAACAATTATGAGTTCTTCATTTATGTGGTGTTTCCCTTTAAAGAGTCATTCAAGCCTGTATGTTTCTCCCCTTTTCTTCCCCTTGCAGGTTGAACCTTGTTCTGTGACTTCCACAGGGGGCTCTGGCAGCAGTTATTGCCCAGTTGTCCATCCATTTACAAGCACATGCGTCCGAGCGCTGAGGTGTGCTTAGCTGCTCTGTATAAACATTAACCTGAGCAGACTCTCAGATGACCTGCTCCTAATCTCTGGCCCTTATGAGGAGCTCTGAAGAGACTGGGACAGCAGCTGCAGGAGTTTGTACCCAGTGTATTCCCCTCTATTAGTTTGATAGCACATGTTAACATTTAACATGCACGTTGGCATTAAACAGTCCGGTATAAAGCACGATTTTGCCAGATATGTGTTTCAATATGCATCCACAGTGGTCCCTCTATCATCATTGGCATCATTACTATTAGTAATTATGCTATTAGCTGCCATACATTTTTAGTTAGTTTTATAATTTGCAATATCACAGCAATCATAATACTCTTTCATGGCAGTTCTCAGACCTGTACTCACACAAACATGTAATAGTTATGTTTACTCCAATTCATTTTAAGTCTACTTGCCCTTCTTTGTTTCCTGGGGCTGTCCTCATGTTTGTTTTCCAAAATGTGCCCCTAAACATCATTAGCTTAAGTGAGTTTGAAGTCTAGCTTTAGGGCCACATTGGTAGTGTCAACAGCTGGTCAGGTGAAGCTGCTATTAATGTATCAACCCAACTAAACATTGGTAGTGGGAGGTGTGCCTGCATGCTCCGCCTCTAAAAGGTCATCCAAGGTATGGTTAAAAAAAACAAAAAAAAAGTGGGAGTCCTGATGACATCACTGGGACAATATAAGAGTCAGGCGATGAGGTTTGGCTCCAAACCTCTCTGAGCTGAAACCTGAAGAAGCCAGCAGGCGCACAGCTAGCACCTTCTCTCTACACATCCTCCCTGTGGTCCTGGGATACAAGAAGACACCGCACTGGAAAATATGCTTTTCTGCCACTCCCAGCCTGAGTCCTACCACCAGCACTCTGCTAGTTATATTAGGTAAAGCACAAGCCATGTTAAGAAGCTTTAGAAAGCTGTGGAATTCAGGTGCTTGCAACAGGGGAAAGTTATTTCTACAACAGGTTAAATGGAAGTGTCAGTGCAAAGTAGAGGTGTTAAGAGAAGTAGAAGTGTTCATATGGCATACAATTTGTTTTTAAAATGTACACTTTTGCAGTGATTCTGCATTTAGGAGCACATTATATTTATATTTATTTATTATTAACATTATATTGCCATGTGAAATTCAAATTTTAAAATGCATTGCAGTGGGTTTCTTTAAAGGAACATTGTATTAAAAAACCCACAGTTAGACTACAAATATAGATCATATAGACTACTTTTTTTTTCTCTTTTTTAAAATTGGCACATTTAAAAGGACTTAGATCTACATGAGTAACACTGTATTTTGTAACAACAATCTTTTGCACCTTTGTTCCCCTGATTGAATAATTAGATAAAAGACAGAAAGGACGTTCCCACACTCAGCCCCTGTTCTTTCCTTTTGGTGTCTTTCAGAGAGGCTTTGGCACCTTTCTTAAAAAACGAAGAAGCAAGGCTTATGGCAGAAAATGATGCCAAGAGGACCCCATTCCAGTACATTCTGTGTGCAGCCACCTCGCCGGCTGTGAAACAGCAGGAGGAGAGTCTCACTTATCTCAACCAAGGTAGCTATCTGTCCTGCTAGTTGAATGTCCACGTTGACTAAATGGACTGGAGCTCATTTTGTCACATGTAACCTCAGCAGCAGCAGCAGCAGCAGGGCATGGGTGAGATTAATGCTGATGCAGGATTTTAAATCCTTTATAGCTCAGGGACAGGCTGGATCCTGGTAAATGAAGCCATGTTTACTTGAATTATTAGTTTGGACCCTGCAACTAACATACAAAGGCAAAAACCAGGTGGGATAAACTTATGTGCAGAGGCATCAAGATAACAAATCTGGGGCTGTTTAATCATCATTATTCCACGGTAGAATAATGAATGGACCCAATTTAAGTTACCTGCAGAGAATTCCTTTGCTAATGCTCTTACAGATCTGGATTTGATGTTTTGATGACATCAGAACTTTAAGTCTACATTGTCTTCTTCCATGGATGCAAAGAAAGGCCATAATAATTCTATTTATGCACCTAATTGTGGAATTTCACTGGATGTCCAATTAATGATGATTTTCATTATCAATTAATCTGACAGTTATTTTCTCAATTAATCATTTTGTTAATGATGTATTTAAAAAAGTGAAACACCATTCACAATTTCTCATAGGCCATGATGATGTATTCAATTTGCCTGTATTATCTGACTAAGCCCTGGGTCTTTAACAGGGGTGCCAAGACCCCCAGGCTGGTCCTCAGAGTTACTGCAATTATTGTTTGATAATTCAAGTGTTGAATTTATTTTTAATTAGAATATGTCTGAAAACACATATTAACATGAATTCAACATATTAGCATATTACATAAATCAGCCTAATCACATACATTTACAGTACACAACATTAATGATAGACTAACTGTTACCCATGAATCCTCATGCAATCATGTGAGCTAGCTAACACCAAATCACTGTGCGGCACTTATCCATAATGGTGAGGTAAACTAGTAAGCCAGCAGTTACATACTATTGAAACATTTGATATAATAGCCCATTTGCCAATGG